GCCAGCACTGGGAACTCTTTTTGATGCTCCTTCCAGAATAAACGGGGCTGTTGTGAAATAAGGCCTAGATAAAATTAGTATCTGAGATAGGCAGACAGGCAATTAGACTTACCTTTTGCAAGATATCGAGCCAGTTCATCATCATCCTCCTCTGCTGGTACTTCTGCTGCATAAAATGAAGTCTGTGAGTCACACAGCATCTCAATCTCATTAATATCACTGGAGTTCTGCTGGACATTAGAGGATGATTCTTCAGCCTGATCTGAAAATCGCCGTTTGTATCGCCAGAACTCTTTTTCAAGACGCCCACGATATCTTGCACCAAAATCAATATCCCCTTGCCAATCTTTTGAGGTAAAGAATCGAAGTTTCTTTGATGGGGCAAGAATGGTAGCAATACCATAAAGATCCCCATAAAACTCCTTATCAGTTGCTTGATAATACTCAGAAAGCTTTTCCCTTGCCGCCTGCAATGCCCTCAGCATTGATTTCTTCCATGGGAGTCTCTTTCGGCGAAGCTGGTTCTCGGAGTTCTCCAGGTGATTGAAAAGCTTATTGTAAACACCAAAGATAAGATGGATTGTGGTGTCTTTTGTTTTTGAGAGAGCAGTTGTGAACTTGAAGAATGGCTCAGTGATACACAGTAAGTAGTCGATCTGACGCCATTCTTCTTTGTCAAGCTGAAAATGGAGATAGCCGTGTGCTGTACAGTATTCTTGAAAGCTCTTCTGTAGTCGCTTGGCTCGGCCGAGCATCAGAAATGTAGAATTCCATCGAGTCCGTACATCTTGAAGAGGAAGCAGTCGAGGCTCCTGGGACTGGATTACAAGAAATGCAGCTCGGCGCTGAGGACTTGCATTAATAAAGATAGCAAGATTTCGGATCTACAGATAACTATTATTAGCTGTTATCCTCTCTCTCTCTCTTTTTGCTGAATCATCACATACCTTGTTCAATGTCTGGATAATCTCTCTCTTTGATTGCTGAGAACGCGCCTGGCGCTCACGGTCATCTGACCATCCATCCTCTGCCTCATTATTGGATGGCATTGCTTTTATTTTTCCGAGAAGTTGATTCAGACTCAGTTGGATCACATGGGCCAGGCATGGAACACGAAATATACCATTACCAAGCCCGTCACTTCCAACACCCTGACTTTTGAGCTCATCCTGAATACTGAGCATCATTGTATTGTTATTGGTAGCATTATCAGTTGTTACTGACAGAACCCGATCGGCAATTTTATACTTTTCGAGAATACCAATAACTACTGAGCTTAGGTTACTCCCAGTATGTGAGCCTTGTAAGGGTTCAAAGCCAAGTAGAGCCTCTCGATACTCCCAATCGTTATCCAGAAAATAACCAGTAATAGCCATAAAGCCCTGCTGGAAAGGTGATGTCCAGCAATCAAGTGATAGAGATAGTCTACTATCCTCTGGGAGCATATCTATTATACTCTGTTGTCCTTGTTGGATATTCGAGTGTAGTTGTCGGCTAATCGTCCGGGGCGAGGGTAGTTTGACCCGTGAGGGAGCAACAGCAATTAGATCAGCTAATTCCTGGAATTCTGGACGATCAAGGATACGGAATGGGAGCCGTGCGACGAGGATAAGAGAAAGGACTTTCTGGGCAAGCGCTTCTTCAGAGAAAGTAGTTAAAGTTGCTCTTGAAGTTTGTGACTACAAATTATAAGTTATTAGCTAAAAGCAGTATCTTAAAGAGAGTATATATACTTACCTGCTTCGCAAGTAACTTGCCAATCCCATGCTTTGGATGACAGGTATTCCCTTTCAGATGTGTGTTCATTGGTGATGTTCCTCCACGCCGAATATTTGGATGAGTAAGTGTAGTAAGGCAACGCTTACACATAACTTTAGGCTCTCCTGTCCGTTCATGAGCTACTTGCTCAAAGTGATCCCAGACTGAAGCTCTCTTTTTGTGGTCCCAATGAATGGTGGTCTCGATGTCTTTTCTTGTGCCATACTCTGTTTGAAGCCACCACTCAGTGAAATCCTTCCGAGTTTGGCCTGTTGCGGGGTCCATTTCTACAAGGATCCAAAATCGCTGAAGATGTGGCCCAGTACGTGTAAGGAATAAGGGCGCTCGCGGTAATTGCAGTTGTTGAGAGCAAATGGATGGTGTAATTGACTCGGTGGCAGTACGACAATATGTATTGAGTGATGGTAGGTCATCTGGTAGGAGAAAGTCAGTATCAGAATGCTGATCGGTGAAGACTGATGAAGTATAGGCCATCTTTGGCTATGGTCTTAAGAGCCAATATGTGTAAATGAGAGACAAACAACTTACAAGATTCGACGAGAGGACCACAAACACCAGACGCGACCGAGGACATTGATGAGTTGCAAAAGCAATTATAGAGTGGAGTCAAAGATATACTCTAATTGGATATTAGAGCTACTAATGCGGTTATCCTGCGGTTAACCGCAAAGACCCCTCACAATAACCGCACTAAGATTACCGAAAACCGCAAAAACCGCAAGATAACCGCAAGATAACCGCAAAATACCCCTGAAAACCGCAAAAACCACAGGATAACCACAAGGTAACCGCAGCACGACCGCAAGATAACCATTTATCACTGCAACTTTGCACTTTTAGGACACACTTTTTTAACACTTTTATATTGTAATACTAGATTAAAAATTATTAGGGATAGGTAAAAAAAACTAGCTCTTTTACAACATATGATCAAAATTCAGAATACTTAAAAATTAGTCAAGTTAGGCTTTTCATGTTCTACTGACCTAAAGATGCAGCATAATCTCTCTAAGTCAAATATATATTTCTGCGATAACTATACTCGATTACAAAAACTAATCACAACACACAGTAAATCTCGCCAACAATATCCAAAATCCAACTTCGAACTTGAATTTTTTGTAGACTAATATTTTATCTTTTAGAATACCGCTCTATTTCAAATTATTTCCAACAGAAAGTAAGAAAAATAAATGATTACAGTAGTAATAACGAAACCATATGTAAGAATGCATTATTTGAGCTTAGTTATCAGGTGTATAAAAACGGTGGGGTGGCTTAGATAGGTAAGATCTTCATCTTTTATGCTAGTGCGGTTAACCGCAAGGTAACCGCATTGCGGTTTTGGTTAACCGTAAAATTTGCGGTTAGGTTTTGGTAAAGATCTTAGAACCGCAAACCGAATCGATTTGGGTTTGGTAAAGATATGAAAGCCGCAGACCAAATCGATTTGGGTTTGGTTAGCATTTGAAGACCAAACCCAAAACCGTGCCGCAGTCTAGGTACAGCTGTAGTCTCACTCCACCTAATAGGAGCTAAGAGAAGCCTCTATTTAAATCGGTACCTAGGGACTACCGAGGATTTAATGGTGTATATAATAGAGCTAAACGGTGTTGAGATAGTGCTCAGCACATTTGTTAAGGGATAACAGGCTAGCTAGGCCTGTAAAAGGCATAGCCAAAGTATAGAAGATTCTCACTAAAGAATAGGAAGTTCTTACCAAAGCACAGAAATCTGTGAAAGTTCTAACCAAAATATAGATTTAGAGCTAAGTCATATCCCAACCAAGTTGGTCATATTTTTGGACAGTCAAGCCACTATCTAAGCCATCACTAATCCCAAGCAATTATCAGGCTAATACATACTCCAACGAATATATAACCACATACGGGCCTAGCGATCACTTATACCTACATACAGCCCGATTCCCACTACTATTGAGATCCACTGGATCCCCGTATATATAGGTATGCCAGGTAATAAGGTGGCAGACGTTAAAGCTAAGTTTGTAGCCGAAAAAGGGGGTAGGCCGGACTATTGTAGTGCCGAAGTCCGATTGGCCTCATCCGTATAACACTAGATACAGTAGTGTATTAAGACCTAGTAGGTAAAGGTATAGGAGAAAGAGAAAACAGCACAGTAATACCACTAATTGGTAAAAGATAGGCCTTCAAAGAAGCTACTAAAGCTATATAAGAACCTACCTAAGGTATACTCATCAATCCTGGTGTAGATACGGTCCTAGCGCATCGGATTACAACATTTCCTATTTAAACACACCAACTAATAAGGGGAAGAAGACCAGTTTAACAAAGGCCAGTATCACTATGACGAGGGTAGTCAGACGCCCTAGTATATTCTCTTACAGTACCCATTATATACTAGCCTACAGGAAACTATGCTGAACAAGATCTAGTACAAGACCGACCTAGGGCACACAACTGATTACAATATAATTGTATCGGACTCGTAAGCCATCTACTACATAGCCAAATTCATATACCAAACTGGACTCCTTAGTTAATTCTGCACTATAGAATACGAGGATGTCGATGTCAACATTGAAACGCTTAAAGGGAGCGGGCGCTAGGAGGTAAAGACGATATATATAAGGAAGTATACTATCAACTAGCGACTATGAGAGGTTGAATAGGTGGAGGAGCTACTACCCTATAAGGAATAACTGCAGGAGGAACCAGGGCGTAACTGAGGTTATATCGGTAGTAGCAGGGATGGGGAGACTACGGGGTGAGACTACGGGGAGTGGGCACAGGCACTGCGTAAGCTGGCAGTAGCCGATTACAGTCATTATGAGCGTTTCAGTACCATCATTGTGGGAGTTATTATGTGTATTTCTATGGCAATACGCCGTATCTCCTTTGTCTGTTGTTACTACGGGCGTGGCGTTAGGATGGTTCTGGTTCCCGATGGAGGGAACGCCTACATAGCCACGGCGCTCACTAGCCAGGCTGCATTAGGTTAATAGAATCTTGAATTGAATTGAATTGAATTGAAGGTTTTTACCCTGTGGAGATCGCGCCTTCCTAAATACTCTTTTACCGGAGGCGCAAGGTGATAAAGCCTCAACGTATAAAGCCTCTAAGCCGAGAGACTGGAGACTGATATATAGATGTTCCGTGAATTTAGATATTCACCATGGTCATCTCTTCGAGTTCCGTCGACGATGGCATAATAATCGATGGCTAGGGGAAAGATATAAAATGACCAAGGCCAGCGAGGAAGAGATCAGATGTTATAGCAGCTTGGTTGGTGAGATGTCCTGGCAAGGTGTCTCCTTGAAAGTCAGATGTGACAGACTCCGGGGTCAAGGAAAGAATCAGAAAAAATGCCCGGTGTGCATGATGAAACATGAGTCATATGTACAGGCTGTTCCGTTGAACAAATCAGTCCTTGGCCTAGCAGTGTATGTTCTGCGTGAGGCATACCACACTTATATCACTGGAGTTGGTCTGCTGGAAAGGGAGTTTGGTGAGCCAAACTTGATTTTAGGGTACCGGATACCGGATCAATATGTTCTAATAAACATTCATGGGAAGCAGCTCATGGGGTTCAACCTGATTGCTGGGGATTATGCAATCTACGCATTACAGGCAGTCTTCAAAGGAGGCTCTAGCAGATGGGCGGGAAACCAAGATGGTTCTAAGAGATGCCAGTGGATTACTGACCGACATACTGTATGGAACACTCACCGCGATACGCCAAGGTTAGTGCGCCTCGCCACGGAGAAGGGTGTCCAGGCACTTTCCGGAAAGCTGGATGTGAGTCAACCCTCTTCTACGACAAAATGATATACAATCGCTAAGTATCTTTAGTACTGCAAATTTATCGGGTTCTCTATAGCATAGAATAATGAAAATCACTAGGGGCAAAATCTCATTTAACGTCAAGACCAAAGCCCTGACGTTTTGCTTATATTGGCTATGCCCATGGTATATCATCATGCTCCTCTCGCTATGTCTACCTTAGCTTACTCACCATACCAATACGAACTTATTAGACATTGCATTCTTTTCTGTTCCGAGTACGGCATTAATCATCAGGTCTTACTAGATAATTTTGACTCAATTTCCGGTTCGTATTGCAGAATTTACGTTTCTTTTGGAACACTACTAGTACGGTATGCATTTATCCCCAGCGAGCCAACCTTATTTGCAATAATTAAGTTAATCAGGAATCTGTTTGTCGACCAATCTATATAGTTAAGTTGATGTATCTAAATATAATTAGGATTTGATTGATTGGCAATTTTGCCAAGGTGATTCTCACAAATTAAAAAACTCCAAACCAGCTATCACCTTCCTATCTTGGGTATGTGCTCTAATAGTAGGTGTCGACTTCCTAGACTACGATTTTAAACCACGGCATCATAGTAACATAATGTCATAATGTCATAATAGCATCCTACCTGTCGATATTAGCACCTTCCATGTCTGCACTCCTTCCCTTTTCGGTATATCGTAGCCATATCCTCGTATCCCCGGTCTCTGGTTTTTCATCTCTTCATCCCCCAGTTTCTTAAACTATTCTTTCATCGACCGCGCAGGCCCAAGTATTATTAACGCCATATTCGGGAACTTTCATACTATCCCGGAACGGTGTCCTAGCAAAATCCACTGAGCAATCTGGCTGAACAGACTGAAGAGTAAAGCGGCAAGGGCACTTGCCCGACGAATCAAAAAAAAATGGGTGAATGCGGACATACAACAGCAGGGATTCGTATGTGGTCACCCACCATACTACTAACTCACCGGCGTGTGGCTAAAACACAGTTGGTAGTTGGGTGGGTGCCGCCCGGGTGAGAATGGGGTGAGCGCCGCTTTAGCGTCGCGCGACCCAGGTGATTAGGGTGAGTGCGCAATAGACAGAGTGAGAAGCAGGGTGAGAATGGATGATTCTCACCCTTTGTCGCGCAACACCGCACTGACCCTTACAGCTGAACTCAGATACAGTATTATTGGTACACCACAGTCTCGCTGAAGTGTCAGACATCACTAACATCAAATGGGTATCAACCTTTGTATCCATATCTGCCTCCACTCTTATATCAATAGTACATACGACCATAGGGTGTGGAGAACAGGGCTTCCCGTCCGCTCAGCCGTACTTAAGCCACACGCCGGCAGGTTAGTAGTATGGTGGGTGACCACATGCGAATCCCTGCTGTTGTATGTTTTATTTTTGCTTTATATTTTTGTGATTTTATTTATATCTTTGTTCCCTTTTTTCCTCCTGCTACCAAGGCCTGGGACATGTACGTCAGTGTTTGTCCTATAGTTAGGACAGGCTCTGTCAGTCTACACCCATACAGTCATTCTCGAAATCGCCTTGACCACTTAGTTAACTATTTTCTGGCCCCACCGCCAAGGCCTTAGCGTAGATCGATCATTGAGCGGCCGCATGGAATTGAGGGATACTGTAAAATGCACCTTGTATGGCCGTATCTTGCACCCTAGGTCGGTTTTTTAGAGCCCCGAGCTTCCACCAACTGTTGATCATTCATGACCGTCTTGAGCTCTATATCCTCCATCGGTGATCTTCCAAAGCGCCTCTTCCGTAAAATTTCCGCGCCCTTATACAAATCAGCATTCCTCTGCGCGTACACCTTCTCCATCTGAGCGGGGTTAGCATCCTCCTCCATTTGTATGGAGGGAGCTAGATGGGAGCCATCGGCGGTTTATCGCGATTAGTGAGGATATAGGGGACCATCGCTCTTCTTTGGTGTTTGAGGGGACTGAGAGGAGGAGGAGGAGGAGGAGGAGGAGGAGGAGGCGATGGTCCGTTTTGGCGGCGGACGCTTCGGTAGCGCAAAAGCTTGATGGGGACTGGTAGGCCCTTTTGGGGACTGCGGAGCTGGATAAGGGGCACTGGGGATGCTGGGGACGCTGGCAATCTTCTGTTAATAGGGAGCGTCAACGAGTCTTCTCACGGTTTCTGAGCCGACCTATGGCAACACATCACCCTTGTCGACCATATATTAGAGGAAGTTCCTAAGATAATGGATATATCTACACTTTTTGACGTTGATGAACTTCCAAGGTTCTGGCGGTGGAGTTGGCGACGACTCGGAGACGTACCATCGATGACATACTTAATGTCTGTCCATTTGACGGGAAAACGACGTGCGACTTGTCGATTGGAATTTCCATGCCCATATGGCTGCTGGGAATCCAAGCAGACTTTCAACGAGGTAGGGATGATTGAATTTTGCCATCAATGTGTATGCTGCAGCGAAGTACCGCATATATAGAAAGCTGGTAGTAGAATGTCTAGGTGGAAACTAGGGAATCGTGCATATGTAGGTGTTTAGGTAAAGATATATACTAGGGAGTGAGAGCCTGAGAGAGAGGTGGTATGTTGCCTGAATAGATACCTAGGTAAGTACCCTTAATAACGAGAACCCGCGGGTTTGCCGCCTAATGCCCAGGTGAAGCAAGGCATCGGTGGATCATGATGGAGGAGTTGAAGGATGATGAAACTTTTGAAGGTGTGGATTGTATAGAAGACAAAGGAGGGAAGCTGATACCTAATTAATAGTTACCTATATGTAGGTCGATATGGAAATTTGAGGCATATGCATCCGAGTCAGCACGGCCTGGGTCATTATCAGTGACACATGACTTCTTTTGTCAAACCGCTTGACTCTTTGCCCTTTATGCTAAAATGCCTGATTTCTCTCAATTCAAGAAGATTTTGACAAATAGCACAGTCGTATAAGATTTTCAATGCGATGGTCAATCTACCAGCGGGTCCAGTCCTTAATGGTGATTGGGTTAGCGATCCCCGCCTGCGGAGAAAGGTGAGCCCGAGTTAAATAAGACTCTCTACTCCGTACCTAGACCGAAATTTCTCCTATAAAATTTTGCCTCGCGACCAAACTTAAGCTGATCAGAAATGACATGCCTGGCCTGTGTAAAACGTCGGAAAGCATGTGACGATAAACGACCTCGCTGCTCCACATGCAAGGCGTCTCATCTGCGATGTACTTACGATACACCCCCCCAGTGTTCTACAATTCCAACAGGTAAATCCCGGAATCTGCGGGGGATCTACGGAATTGGATGACTGTCAGCATCCTATACCAGTTTCAAAAAGCCCACGGCGGAGCTATGCGCCGTCTATAAGGTATGAAATGTCACACAGACAGCCCTTGGATGTCTCCCGTAAACTAACCATCGCGAAAGGAAGAGGAATGCCGTCAGTATAAATTGGGATCAATCACAGACCCCGTCTGCGCTGCTTTCTCTGGATGACAGCCTGTTCGCGGATCTGCTGTCCTCGTGGGATGACGAGCTACCCGAATTAGCAGGACTAGATGATCAAATCTGGACTTTTCCTCCTGAACACCCACCATCAAATCCACAGCTATCAGCTCCAAGTCCAAGCAGGTTACCAGTCCATATTGATTCGGAAGAGACCGTCCCGTGCTCGGCATCTGGGCAGCGCTTATTGACAGAAAATCTCCCAGAACCACCCAATAAACGACCCCGAACGGAGGAAATCCCGACACATCTCTTAGGCCAGCATTATTCTAGAGCCCTTGCTGGCAGATTTTCGTTCAAGCGACCTGACTGGACATTCTACACATATTTTTATCATCGCTTTGCCAGAAGTCACCCCGTCGCACTGTCGGCCATTTTGGCATGGACGTCAGCCAACCTTTTCTTCGTTGGACAGGTGACTTCACTGAACGATGCAATTGCCCACTATGACGATAGTATGGCTTTGATATCAGAGAAATATGACATCTCTCCAAAATGCGAATGGGGCGATAGGACAGGCAATTTATCCCACTTTTCTTCCAAAACTGACGATGATCGGGATGCCCTCTTCGTTGCATGCTTCTTTCTCGCCCTCTTGGACCTAGCTTTGGCTCGATCGCAGCCACTTATGATTACTATTCGGTTCATCGCTTCTATTTTACAGACTCCGGAATTCAAGGACAGGATGACTGGGGTACAAGCGAGAGTACTGTCCTGGGTAAGTGCTTCCGGCTATAAATTCAGTTTTGATTTTCAGTCCATTTTCGAACTACTGACTGGTTTAGTTCTGTATTCTTGATGGAAAAGCCTCGGCATTTCAGCCAGGCGATGGCTTTATCCTGCAGGCTATCGGCAGTGAAGAGAAAATTGTCGAATTAGTACGCGTCTCGTCGACAACTCTGCAAGATGCGTACAGTATAACCTATCCTGAAGAGGAACGGCAATCGGACGAAAGGCAGCATCCCCTTCTCGAGCTTATGCTTCGACTATCCTTTCTACTGCATATGATCACCAGTATCAAGAGCAACACTCCCGATAGAAATATCGTGAAAGATATTCGCGACAAGCTGGATTTGTATTGTCAAGCCATCGACCAAGATATTGCCTCGAGTTCACAGGAGGGACGAAATCAGTGCACGAATCTCGTTCTTCGTGCCCTCTACCACAGCGTTGAGATATCATACTCCAGATGTCTTGTTTATAGCGATAAAAGACACGCGGCGGACCGACATGCTCGCGATATCATTCGAATGACCCAACAACTCAAAACGCTGCGGCCATTGGGCTCGAAGATGACGCCCCCACCTACAAAATTCTGGCCATTGCCACTCGTTATGGCTGCAATCGAAGTCGAAGATCCAATCTATCGCGAATGGGCCGTGAGAATGCTGGCAGACTACGAAACGGTCGGAGGTGATCATTATTCATGGTCAAGAAAATTTGTGGAAGCCATGTGCGAAAGAGAAGATCACTTCGCTCAACGTCTGGACTGGTCCTCGATTTTGGCCGACATCAAAGACGGCCTGGTCATTTAAAAAAGCAGGAATCAATTTCAGGTTACTCTTATCTAGAAGGCTGAATAGGTTCCAGATCCTACTGTGATTTACCTTCTCGTAAACCTTGGAATATAATAAAACAATTCTAGAACTTGAAGATATCTAGGCATGGGTTGATTAAAACATCCCTTTTAGCTTGCTGTTCTCATCTTATTGATAATACTAGAGATGGCCATCATTCACTCCATCAAGAAATCCATTCCCAATAACGCCAAGGTGGACCTAAGAAACAATCATAAATTAGTCGACATAGATAAGAAGGAGAGCCTATAAAAACCCACAGTTCGATTTCCAACTTTAGCGACGGGGTTGGACTCTAGGCCGACAACTACTGTATCATGGTCATCAGGAGCAAAAATCCGCTGGAGCAATTCCCCAAATACAGAGTGTATTTCTGCTATAACCTCTCCTCTTGTTACAGGCTCCGCTAATTTCTTGTAGACTTGAAGAATTCCTGCGGCTTGCGAGAATAGCCAATACTGTGCGAGCTCTATTAGAATAATTTGCTTTGAAAAGGAAAACAACTCCAGGCTTACACTTCGGCAGCAAATGACTGGACTCTGTTGCTGCATTTGGATAGCATATTGATTAGACAATGGCGGATATCCCAGTTGAAATGTCAGAGCATTGCAAATGCCGTTGACGGTCCTCGTTATAAGATTGTGCTGGAAGGTGCTGGGATTTCCAATCTGATACATTGTTATGAGATGCATCGTTGAAATAAGCAGATACCCAAAACATACCTCAACTGTCAATGCTTTAATTCCATTCTGCTGGGCACACCCACGGAGTGAACCCCCCGGGCTCGAGTTGTGCACAATTATCTGAGGGCTCAAATCGGTCGCCAATTTTTTGATATTATCATCGTTCATATCAGCGCGAACATACAAAGAGTTCTGCCGACCAGCAGATGCTGTGTGCAGGTCGAATACATAGTCCAACTTCATGACAATCTCTTGGAAGACCCTGTATGCATATTGTTGCGGAGCGGCTCCGTTGGATTTTCTAGATGATACCAGATTAGCTGGAAGTTGAAATAGCAGAGAGGCGAGAGCTATACCCGGGCATGAGTCGATTGAGGTCGTGCCCATCAAAAGAACGGACAGAATCCAAGAATCCCGGTACATTGAGTACAGGGATTCCAATAAGAGTCCCCGCTATTGTCTCACTTGCAAATTCGCTTCGAATCTTTTCCTCTAGCCGCGCAAATACCTGTTGAATCACTGGTATCCCATTCACCTCGTTGCCATGAATGGCGCCAATGATTCCTACGGTCGGGCCAGGGGCAGAACCCCGATAGGCGAAAACAGGAACATTGACTGGTCCGAGTGCAGAAGTAGAAATGTTCAGCCAACGCTTTTCGAAGACTCCTGGCGCGAACTGTTCGATGTCAAGGGATTGAATTGTCGATATATTGGTTGATCCTTTCTGTGCCCGGGGGTCAGAGCCGGTCGTGTTGGATTCGATAAATGACGGAGACATGTTTTCCTCTTTTTTCTTTGCAGTGTTGATTCTCAAAATCCTTTTTTTCGACTTTCCTGTTCATTTTCATGTTTAAAGGGAAATGTTTGTTCCTTTACCTTCTAGGTGCTTGGCCCGTCGCGGAAGTGTCCTATTTGGGCGAAATCAGCGATCGCCCGTTCGGCGAACTTCTTCCCCAGACTTTGCTCGCAATCAATTTGCCTCTCCGCGGGGTATAAGGCCAGCCTTCAAGGAAAAGAAAAAAGTGGTTGGACTGGAAATCTCTTGCCCACCTTCATCGTCTCCTTATCTCGTTCTCCTTCTCCCAAAAGACCCAAGCCTAGCATTTCCATCGTCAACCCTGGAACTCCGGGTGAAAGTCGGCATATCGATCCTACAAGATCGAAATTCGCAAAAGATGGCAGCCAACGAGCAAGGCCCCCCGAAGTGCTCTTTTTTCCAAGAGGGATCTGTATCCCAGCTGGAGTCTCTAGCTATGGATCAATCCGATGAGCAGGTTGCGTTGCACAGATCTCGTATCTTGCGGAAATTGGACATGCGCCTTGTACCTCTCGTGAGTTGAATGAATATCATTGTTATCTTATTATATAATTTATTCTTATACCCAACAGATGCTTATTACCTATGGTCTGCAATTCCTCGACAAAGCCTTGCTTGGATACGCTGCTGTTTTCACATTTCGACAGGATACCGTTAGTCCCTCATTCAATTTCTAGAATTGCCACTCTAACGATGAGCAGCATCTACATGGACAAGAATACAGTTGGGTCGGATCGATCTTCTATTTCGGGTATATGTTATTTGAATATCCGCTCGCAGGCCTTCTTCACTCTTTCACCACTCCCCTATATCTTGGGTTCTTCATATTCGCCTGGGGAGTGTGTGTGGTCATGACCAACTTCTGCGTCAGCTTTACTGGCCTTATGATCAATCGATTTGTCTTGGGTGCTTTAGAGTCTGTCGTTGCACCTTGCTTTGTGGTCATCACAGGTATATATCTCTCGACAGTTCATGAACATCTCGTACTAACTAGCTTCCCAGCGGACTGGTATACTCCAAAAGAGCAACCAATCAGGCAGGTGCTTTGGTTTCTGGGAACTCCGGTCTTCGGCATATTTGGAGGTTTGTTAGGCTATGCCCTTGGGAACACCCATACTGAAGTTACTTCGTGGCGCTTGTTATACATCGTCTTTGGCTCCGTAACCGCACTTTGGGGCATTTTCTTCGCATACGCCTTTCCAGCATCCCCTAGAGAGGCATCATTCCTGCCCGATGAGGATCGGGTGATGTCAATTCTGCGTGTAAGACCAGATGATCCAATACAAGTACTCAACTAACGCATCATAGAGTGATTCAATTGGACAATCTGTTGAGCCAAAATGGAAGTGGTCCCAAGTCAAGGAGGCCTTTTTAGACCTCAAGACATACATTTTCTTTACTATTGGGATTTTCAATACAATTCCAGCTGGATCACTGTCAAACGTATGTCTTTCATATGTCCTTGAAATTTTGGTATAGACTGACGAGATCGGTGATACAGTTTAGCAGTCTTCTCATCAAGGGGTTTGGCTTTACGGCTGTGCAAACTCAACTGATAGGGATCCCGTCACATGTGGTTCAGATTGTGTCAATTCTAGTTGCGTATGTCGGACTGTTATGGGTCATTTATGACCATGCGAGTTACTGACGATGATTCATCCAGGGGTATCGTTTCAACCAAAGTCGCAGACATGCGTCTTCTATCCATGTCATTTTGCGTCATTCCGTCGATAATAGGGACTGCCCTGGTATACTCTTTGCCAAGTATAGATAAATGGGGAAGGGTTGTCTCGGTTTGGATCATCTACACCAACTCCGCGAGTCTCGCAGTTTCATTTTCTGTCATCGGTGGTAATGTTGCTGGATACACTAAAAAAACCACCGTCACTTTTCTACTTTTCTTGGGGTGAGTTCTTGTGTGAAATCGAAGCTGAAGCTTTTATATTAACATCAATAGATATTGCGTCGGCAACATCATCGCCCCCCAGTGCTTTCGTGAGGAGGAAGAGCAGGAAGGATACCCTACCGCCATTATCGCGATGGTTGTGTCTTTCTGTGTTCTATTTATTGCTCCTCTACTCCTCCGGTCTGCACTCCAATGCTTCCTTCCCTTTATAAGCCCGTACTGATGGTTCATAGATTCTTATACTCGAAGGAGAACAAACGCCGAGACGCACAGGGCGTACGCTTTGTGGCTTCATCGGGCAGTGGAGGCGATGAAGATTTGACAGATATGGAAAATCCAAACTTCAGATATGCTCTATGAGATTTTATCATATTATACAGTCAAGCTCCGCTAGATTTAGTGCGAAAATGGAATATCCAGTAGTTTCTCCCTTTCCGAGGTTTCTGGAGGGATGGCGAAAGACCTCGCATGGGAAATCTGCCACCTAGGTCATTAATGAAATACTAGATTGGACTGAAGCATACCTATCTGTAAATCAAATCTTTCGATGGATGTAATGAACGGAAAGATCATGATTGACATTGCTTTTTAGACCATCCTTAATCCGCTTATAATTCTTTTTTTCTCTCTGCGGGCGATTAGTAAGGAAATGCCAAGCCTGGGGTTGCCCTAGCGGCTAACGTCTGCTTCTCCAGACAACTTCATTCTGGGACATCCTGGCACTCTGCTGGACTTATGCATCCTTATAATGAGTGAGAGCTCACCAGCTCAATCTGATCGTCGCCGCCATCGGCGGGGTACCACCCGGAGCGTGGCGGCATGCCAGCGATGCCGTCGACGAAAACAAAAGGTCGGTTTGATCCGTAACCCGTGTGAACAAACGTTAAACGACAGCAGTGCGATGGAAAATTTCCATGTGGCCCATGTGAGGCTATTGAATCAAACTGCATCATATCAGACAGACTCGTAATTCAGCATCCAGACATGACTGGAGAATGCGATTCCCTGCGAATTCAGCTTGCCGCTGCCGAACAAAGAGCCAATGAATTGAGTCTAAAGTGTCAGCAACTCGAAAGCCAGATTTTGGAGCCATTCAACTCTACTCAATCCGCCCAAAATATTCATTCGGGGGTTCTGACACCTGGACGTTCCTCAGTGGCCCAGACTAGCGCAGAAACTTCATCACATTATGAACCGCTGAGCGGGAACCCAGACCGCCAGTTCGCCAGTCGCATTCTGAGACCAACATTCACGCTGAGGTCAAATAACAGAGGAATCAATTGCAGTGCCATGAGCAGCGCTTGGGAGCTGTGGGGAGATGTCACAGATACCATTCAAGAGTTTGAGACCAACAGAACAGACCTCAACCACGACGCTTATCTCAACCTAGCCCGCGAATTCTTTGCCAGGCGATGGCCATATTTACCTGTTGTACACAAACAGACCTTTTTCGATGAACATATGGGCGCTTTTCTAACAAATTCAGGCACAGGAACACTGTCAAATTTCATGGTGAATATCGTTTGTGCCATCGCTTCGGCAGAGAAAGCCTCCCAGCAGAACAGCGAAAAAGACCATAGAGTCTTTTTTAGGGACGCTGTCAAGGATTTGCATCTGGTGATGAGCTCTGAAAACTTTGAATGTGTTCAGTGTCTCCTCCTACTCTGCATGTATGGCCACAACGAGCCTCAGTCAGTCAACATGTGGTACACCACTGGACTTGCTCTGAACTTAGCGGTCGGTCTCGATTTACATCGAAAAGAAAGTCTGTACGGGCAAGATACAAAAGGAGCCGAACTATCGAAGCGTGTCTTCTGGTGCGCCTACGTGATGAACTGCAGCATGGCAATCAATATGGGTCGACCGCTGGGGATACAGGGATCAGATATCAGCATGCCCTTGCCTCTACAGCTTACGGATACTCAGCTCGACGAATCTTTTCATACACCCCTCGTCGAAGAGACCTTGATACCTCAAGTAAATGATATGTCAACTTTCATACATATCATCAAGTTACGTCGCATGAATGCGGATGTATACACAACATTCCATTCCATTGGATCTAGGTCAACCGAGGCCTCTGAGTTGGATCGACTCCGCAACGATTATTTCGTGAAGCTGAATCAGTGGTTGATAACTGCACCTCGGTATATGCAGACTTTGTCTACTTTTCAGTCAACTGAATGGTTTCAGATCGCCTTTCACCACGCTGTTCTAGCGCTTTATCGTCCATCGCGCGCTATTCCGATGCCTTCCCCAGAGAATTTAAGAGTCTGTACCGAATCAGCTATTGGCCTCATCAGTTCATACAGTGCTTTGTATGCGCGAAACCGCATCAAGTATACCTTTGTCGCAATACACTCGCTCTTTATGGCAGCAGTGACCATGCTTTATTCCCTACGAGCGTTTGCGCCTCTTCGAAGAGAACTGACAAAGCCTGTTATTCAAACCAATATCTTCACTTTTCTAACACTTTTTCGTGGGATATGCAATGGACGGGCAGTGGGAGAGAAATGTTGTGGTATCGTTGAAAGGCTGGGTCATTCAATACTGTCACTGTTCGAAAATGAAGATCAAGCCGAGTTGAGAATCGACTCGGAATTCCAGACATGGTTTGGTCTTCAAACGCATACATTTTCCCCGACGAGAGTGAATCGACTTTGGAATTCCAGTCACAAAATCTATCACCCCAATTTCCTGAAATACAAGTTGATTTACCGTGGACTGATTTGTTTACACAAGGGTTAGACATGGGCACCGCAGACGTGTGGAGCGTTCTATTTTGATGAAAAATACATGAATTTTCAAGTTTCACCAAACACAGAAAATAATTGGCCGACCTGAGCTCATTCATTGACAACTGCGGCATCCTCCAAACCGCTAGACATACTTGAATTGGGAGATAAATGGAACCTATCAAAGGCGGATATTGTTCATGTAACCCGAGTTTGGATGCCGAAATTGTCACCGACCGGCTTGTTCCGATAGTTCAGCCACATAGATAGCAAGCATTTTCCACAGCAATTATCAAATATTCTCACTCAATTATCCAACTACCTACTCACTGCTAGATCAAGCTTCAGGGTCTCACTCAAGTCAAAGGAAAAGAAATATGGCTTCCAAAGCTTTACAAAATCTAAAGCGGTTCTCAACATGCGATGTATGTTCCAGCCTATGCTTTTCGCTTGAGTATTCTAGCTAATGAATTACTAGATTGGTGACGCACTTGTGAAACTCAAGCACCCATATGGCGGGTTTCTTGATGGTCTCAGAATATTTTCTCCCAAACCTGGTACTAGTATCTACGGTCCTCTCGTCACTGTGAAGATGGTTGAAACCAAGAGCCCGGAACCAAGCTCGCCATTGCATTTCGCAGATGCCAATAAGCCCGGCCATGTGATGTACATTCAGCAACCCAGGGGACTGCCATCAGCATGCTGGGGAGGACTTATGTCCACACGTTCTCAGAAATTAGGCGCCCTCGGGGTCGTCATCGATGGTCGTGTGAGGGATGTACAAGAACACCGCGATCTTTCCTTCCCAGTAAGTTGAGGATGCCCTAAACCTGAAATCTGACAATATTTCTAAGATTGTCATTAATCTATTTACTGATAAACAGGTTTTTGCACGAGGAACTTCTGTCCTGGGCTCGAACACATTCACGCGTGCCTCCGAAATCAATGTGGCGCTACAGTTTCGTGGTGACTTATGGATTCACCCGAACGACTTACTGATTGGTGACGAAAATGGAGTAGTTGTCGTCCCTCCGTCCTTGATGGAGCAAGTTGTGGAGCTCTGTCAGGAGCGCTATGAAATTGATAAAAAGACATTTGCCGCTTTGCGAGCGGGTGAGCCGATGGGACCCACAATCAAGCGACTTCGCAAGTAGAGTATCGGATGCATCCGATTTTCGTGACTCCGATACGCCCGCAAATTATTTTAGGTTAGATACATGGCACTGCTCGCTTGGATTCATTTTCATAAATTTCACAATGTTCAAACGCCATTTTCTAAAACGTGCAACTTACGGCGCTACTAGCAGGCGGTATGTATCGAAACAGCACAGCCTCCCAGCAGCCTATTACCGCGGTGGCACTTCTCGCGCTGTGATCTTCAATGAGGCCCATCTTCCTTCTCGGCCCCAATGGGACGATATATTTCGCGGTGTCATTGGTAGTCCCGATCCATATGGCCGACAGCTTGACGGTCTTGGTGGAGGTATCTCCAGCCTATCTAAAGTGTGTGTTGTGGGGGAGTCTACACACCCCGATGCCGACGTTGATTACACTTTCGTATCGCTCAGCGTCAAGGGAACCGATGTTGACTACTCCAGCAATTGTGGGAACATGATAAGTGCCATCGGCCCATTCGCTATTGATCAAAAACTTGTTTCGCCAAACAAGTCGGACTCAGCCGCTGTTCGCATCCACAACACAAACACTGGCAAAGTGATCACTGCAACCTTCTCAATAGTGGATGGGGAGGCAGCGTCCGGAGGGGATTTTACAATTGATGGTGTTGCTGGTACAGGGTCTCGTATCCAATTGGATTTCGTGAATCCGGCCGGTTCAGTCACTGGAAAGATGTTACCGACAGGAAATGTGAAAGACGAGTTCGACGGTATCCCAGCTACTTGCATTGATGTTGCAAACCCATGCGTTTTTATTCAAGCAAGTGAACTGGGCGTTCGAGGAGATCTAACGCCAGAAGAAATTAGTTCTCACCCAGATCTTCTTAATCGACTTGATTCGATTCGGCGCCAAGCTGGAGTCAAAATGGGCATCGCCGCGACAACCGAGTCGGTCCCTGGAAGTATCCCGAAGATTTGCATTGTTTCAGCGCCAGATTCCTCCGATCAGGCCACGCCTATTGATTTAGTTGTGCGGGCCATATCTGTTGGGCAGCCACACAAGGCTGTGCCAATCACTGTTGCACTGGCTATCTCCTCGGCTGCCCGCGTTACTGGCAGCACGGTTGAAGCTGCGAGCCGCGGGAGGCAGATCAATGATGCGGGTATCACAATAGGCCATGCAAGTGGGGATTTGCTCGTTGGAGCTCAATTTGAAAAAGGCGAGCTAGTTGCAGCAACAGTCTTCCGAACCGCGCGTCGCTTATTCGAGGGCAATATTTACTGGAAGGGTTAGATGGCTCAAGTTGATCAGAATGTTTCGTTAGTCCCTACTGTAAGAATTCCTTCCTTAAACTGACTCTCAAGAGAGCCTGATGATTTCCAAAACTAACTAGTAAGAAATTATATGTTAGTTCATTTCCTTCAGTTCCTAGTGCATTGGAGAGTTTTTAGAAATGTTATAGAGGAAATAATCTTAGTACTAGTACTGCTGATAAAACTCAGCTATTACTCGTAAGTGAAAGGTTAAAAGAAGGCACACTCAACTCACATTATTGATATTCATAGCATAACACTGCTTTTTATTACCCTACCGAGAATTAGTTGAAAGAGAAAGGTCGGCTAGCAGTCACCAGATATTTTGTTTGCGACTTTTTCGCAAGAAATTGTGACCTGATGGTATTGTGGCCTTGATGCCTCAGGCGTGAATAATTGCCTTAGCGTTCCTGCTTCGCTTTCTCCTAGACCTCTGGAAATTCACACATAATAACCCCCATTTTCATAGTTCTGAGGTTCTGTCAGATGATAATCGTCCCAATCTAGGTGCCTCCGGCCTCGGGCCATCCCTTGTTCATCTCTATTCCAATGTGCCGATCGGCGGATTTTATCGGCTTAGCCGGCGGATGCATCCGAAATCCCAAAGGGCCATTCACAAGTTGACGATTGGGAATCAAATAGATACACCCTAGGAGTCCGAAGTCTTGTGAAAACCCATCACTGGCTGTTGGAATAGCGTCAAAATGCTCAAAGCACGACTCGGCCAACCCCACCTAGTACGAGGATTTGCCTCTCACACCCAAGTGCCATTGAGCCGCCTTGAATCACAAACCATCAATTTGAGCAAATTCCCATCCAGCGTCAAATCACTCAGGGACCGGCAAGTGAAACGAACCCATGTATCTTTTCACAGTTCAAAACTAACAAAAATATTCTCCCTCTCAGACTCAAGAGACCCCTGACATACTCAGAAAAGGTCCTGTACAGCCACCTGGATGACAGTTTTGATGGGTCCATCGAACGAGGCGTGTCCCAGCTCAAGTTGCGCCCTTTGCGCATAGCCTGTCAAGATGCGACCGCCCAAATGGCCCTCATTCAATTCATGTCCGCAGGAATGGAATCTGCTGCGGTACCCACGACAGTTCATTGCGACCATCTGATTGTCAGCCGAGACGGAGAAAAAGAAGATCTGGCTCGAGCCTTGAATTATCATCGAGAAGTATATGAGTTCATGGAAAGTGCTTGTCAGAAATTCAACATGGGCTTCTGGAAACCGGGTGCAGGAATTATTCACCAAATTGTATTGGAGAATTACGCATTTCCTGGTGGGATGATGATTGGCACGGATTCCCACACGCCAAACGCGGGTGGATTAGGCATGATTGCTATTGGCGTGGGAGGTGCCGATGCAGTTGATGTGATGGCTGGTTTACCTCTAGAGCTCAAGGCACCCAAGGTGCTCGGCGTTCGCTTGACTGGTCAGCTTTCTGGGTGGTCTTCGCCCAAGGATATCATCAACGCAGTGGCAGGGTTGACATCGGTCAAGGGAGGAACCGGCTCAATTATAGAATATTTTGGCGATGGTGCGAAGTCTCTTTCCGCTACTGGAATGGCCACTGTTTGCAATATGGGGGCAGAGACGGGGGCTACGACGTCTATCTTCCCCTATGCACCACAGATGGTTGACTATCTGCGTTCAAATCATCGTCATGATATGGCCGCAGCGATTGAAAGAATTGCGCCGGAGCTACAAGCGGATTCAGGGGCGGAGTATGACAGTGTGATCGAAATTAACTTGTCGACCTTGGAGCCGCGTATAAACGGCCCCTTCACACCTGACCTTTCTACTCCATTATCAAAATTTGGCGATGCCGTGAAGGAGAATAAATGGTCTGAAGATTTGAGCGCTGGCTTGATTGGATCCTGCACAAATTCATCTTTTGAAGACATGGGTCGTGCCGCAAGCCTTGCGCAGCAAGCGTTGGATGCAGGACTCAAGCCGGTGATGCCTCTTCTGGTCTCACCGGGTAGTCTCCAAACGCGCGACACGTTGAATGATGCCGGAATTCTACCGGTATTTGAAAGGTTGGGAGCAGTAATGCTTCCCAATGCTTGTGGTCCCTGTTGTGGATCGTGGGATCGAGTTGATATGCCCAAGGTATGCATGCCTAGGTAGTAAGCCAATCAATTTTCTTTTATCCCGTGCTGGTGGCTAATTAATCTCGGAACCCTAGGGTACATCCAACTCAATCATCACATCCTACAATAGGAACTTCTCTGGCCGCCTAGATTCCAATCCCCAAACGAATATATTCCTGGCTTCGCCCGAAATTGTGATGGCCAAGGTTTTCTCCGGCAATCTAGACTTCGACCCGACCGTTGATGCATTAATAACACCATCTGGGGAGGAATTTCGGTTTCAAAATCCTTCAGGCAAAACTCTTCCCCAAAATGGCTATTTAGATTCTGATACTGCTTACAAAGCCCCTCCCATTGACAGAAGTGGCGTGGAGGTCAAGATCCAGGAGTCATCCCAACGGTTGCAACGACTAGCTCCATTTGAACCCTGGAATGGAGGAGACTTCATTGACTGTCTGATCCTCATCAAGACTAAAGGAAAATGCACCACCGATCATATTACCCCTGCCGGGCCTTGGTTCCGATACCGCGGACACCTGGAGAACATTTCAAACAACACTCTGATTGGGGCTGTTAATGCTGAGAACGACAAGGTCAATACTGTGCGTAATCAGATCTCTCAGAAGGACGGCGACGTGCCTGGGACAGCAAGAGATTACAAAGCACATGGCCAGCCCTGGGTTGTGATTGCTGACCACAATTACGGAGAGGGATCTTCACGAGAACACGCGGCACTGCAGCCCCGATACCTTGGTGGTAAAGCTATTATCGCGAAATCATTCGCTCGCATCCACGAGTCAAACTTGAAAAAGCAGGGCATGCTTGCTTTGACATTTACCGATGAAGCCGACTATGAACGAATTCGAGCCTCGGATCGGATCAGTCTTAAGGGATTGAATTGCCTAGAGCCGGGGAAGCCTCTGATAATGTCAGTTAATGGGGAGTGGGAGGTCAAACTGAACCATACATTCACTTTAGAACAGATCGAGTACTTCAAGGCTGGAAGTGCATTGAACATGATGGCAAAACAGTAATATAGATTGTGTTATAATATTCTGATATACTATGAATTTTCGCAAACCGATCAGAAAAATCTACAACTTGAAGCATTGAAATTTTAAAATTGTGCACCAAATCATACTAGCGGCTTGATTCATCAATGAGGTTAATTTGTTGATGTGATGACACCATTGTACTAGTATGTCATTTGTGTGAAATATACCTAGGCGGTCATCCCTTGATTCTCCACTACGAACGAAATGCCGAATCATATGGCTTGATCTAACGACTAGCAGACTAAAATAGATATCTAGCTAGATGGTTAAAATCAAGATTGAACTAATGATATCTGTGTGCACGTTATCGAATGAAAGGAGGGGAATTTACACTATCGGCTGTTCCGAAAATTAGACTTTCAAGTTTTAGTGGGGGGGACATTGAGTGTAATCCGCTCTTGTCATCATGAATCGGATGCATCCGATGGCATGATGAGTACCGGGGACCCCACATTCGAGGAGCCTGGGGTCCGGGGTAGCCTCGTCACAAGAAGGCATAAAGCCACAGGATGTGCGTATCACAAAATTCATGCTCAAGGCAAAGACTTTCCAGGTACTCAACAAGGAAAATACCACAGTTCATCGGATATGCCAAAGCAAAGGTCTTCCTTGGCAAAATATGTCCAATCCATCAGGGAGTCTCCGCGGGAGATCTTCAACTGGCGGCTCTTCTTGACTGCATTTGCATTTGCTCTCGGAGGTTGTGCAAAAGGTACCTAAGTTCGTCTCCCACCTAGACCCGAAAAATTACTAAGTCTATAATATAGGCTGGGATGAAGGGTCAGCTGCTGCCATTACGCAACTTCCGTCTTTCCAAAACAAGTATGAACTTGACCAGGATTCGATATCAAATATCGTTTCCCTTGTCAACCTAGGTGCCGGAGTAGGGGCATTGCTATCATTCTTGATCAATGACGGAGTTGGCCGAATAATGTCGCTTCGCATATACCAAATTATCTATATCATCGGTTCGCTCATATCTTGCTTCTCGTCAGGCAATGCTGGGGCCCTGTACACGGGTCGGATTGTTTCCGGCCTGGGTATTGGCGCTTTGTCAGTCGTTTGTCCAATGGCAATCTCGGAGATTGCGCCCAAATCCGTTCGGGGCCTAATGGCTTTGTGGTTTAATATATGCATGCTCGCTGGCCAATCACTTGGTGTTTTCATTGTTTACGGCTGCTCTATCCATGTTACACGCAGCAAAGATTTACAGTATCAAACTCCTTGGTTTTCGCAGACTTTCGCACCGGTCATTAGCATTGCGCTCTCATTCATCGCCGTGGAGTCTCCTAGGTGGCTGCTACTTGATCATAAACAAGATCAATCCCATACTGCGTTGCTCCGGCTTCGTGGATTACCGGCCGATTCGGGTTATGTGGCCAACGAGTTCCAAACAATGGTCTCCAGTATGGAAGATCGAGAGGCTGGTTTTGGGAACAACAGCAAGATCAGTATCATCAAAGAAACCTTCTTGGTACGATCAAATCTGCGACGGGTCCAACTTACCATCTTTGTCTACATCTTGGCCCAAATGTCCGGTGCTAACGCCATCACCAACTATCTGCCGACGATATTTGGTCTGATCGGAATCACAAGTTCGGATGTCAAGGTTTACTCAACTGGCCTCTACACTGTTGCAAAGTTGATTTGTTGCTTAGCCGCATCGCTCTTTTTCATCGACATCGCTGGGCGTCGGAAGTCGCTCATGATAGGTATCTCGGTGCAGATCATTTGCCACTCATATTTGGCTGGTTATCTGAAATTATACCAAAGACAGCACGATAGCACGAGCAAGGGATCAACCGATGCTGCGCTGGCTTTCCTTTACATTCACGCATTTGGATGGGCTGTAGGTCTTTACAGCTTGCCTTATCTTTTTGGCGCAGAGCTCTGGCCTAATAAGATTCGCTCTTTCGGCGGGGCATTATCACAATGTTTCCATTGGTTATTCTACTTCGCTATAACCAAAGCAACGCCCTCATTACTTACTAGTATTCATCAATGGGGCGCTTTTGTTCTATTCGTTGGGTTCTGCGTGGTCGCATTGCTCTACACGTATTTCATCATTCCTGAAACGGCTGGAATGAGCCTTGAGGAGATAAACAGAATCTTTGAGCGCCCCTTATGTCCTCTGGCCAAGCCATTGGACCCTTTAGATCAATCCGATCAAGATCCGTGAGTAGTTTCCTGATCACGAAAGAGTACTACTATTTCTGACTCTGAATGATAGACCCGGCCCGGCGACGAATCCAAAATACGGTGAGAAATGGGTGGAAAACTTGAAGGCGTGAAGATATTCTCGTTTACACTCAGAGAGGGTGGTGGAAGTTGGATATGACAGGCCCCTTTGGCTATAAGCAGTACTACATACTTTGAAACGTGACATCGTAAATGAGTTTCAGAACAACTAAATCTCTACCGCAATCATTAAAATATTCCCGCAACAGCAACGGCAGCCACCCCAATAGGCGCAGCCGTAATCAACGGCTGGAAAGGTCCAGCGGCTCCATTGGAGGTTGTGGTAGCTGTGGATTTATGCAAGGAATCGGCACTACCGGTAACAGCCAATTTGTACGAGGTGACAGATTTTGAAGGGATATTTGAAGTAGTAGTGGAGGTCGAGGTTGCATACTTCATCCCAGAGGCGGAGCCCGTGGCTGAATAACTGAATGAACAGGACGCAGATACAGAACTAGAGGTGAACTTGCAGTCAAAGTCTCTGTAGGCAGTAATTTGCAAGCCTCCCGTCCGTTCGGCAGTATAGACCCCAGTAAAGCTGAAAGTCTGAGGGCCCTGGATCATGGTGAAAGGAGTCTTAATCTGACAGTCGGTAGATGGGGCATCATTCAGACAGCTGATGTGATATGTTGTAGCGTCTGCATTGATACCGGCAACACTGGCAGCGGCGCTTGTGTAGCGAGGGATATGTGAGTTCCAGAGGTATGCGTTGCCGAAAAACCAGATTGAAGTTGTGCTTTCTGCAGTGGCCAAGGCCGCGAAAGCAAGGAGAAGAACGATAGAGAAGTCCATTTGGTTTCCTTTGTTTGAATAATGACCGAAAATCAACGTAGAACGTGGTTGAAGTAGTAAGGCTTTTCAGTATGGGGGGGCCTGAATAACAAAATGGAATCAAAAAGTAAAACTTCTGAACTTGAATTCCTCCTCTTTAACTTGCAGTGAAGGCCCCGCGGGTTGGTGCGCCTTGTATTTTGCGCGTCCCGAGGCTTGCCGCCTGACTTGCTTTTACGCCCGAGTCAGAAACAAACGGCAATCTTTGATTGAATATTTTGAAGCGAAAGTGGAGCCCAAATACTGACTAGTGCCCCGGCGGATGAGACGGCTGTAGAAGGCAATTAGGCCATTGGACAAGGCTGACTCTGAACATGGCTGTCAGCTAATCCCAGGAATGGGGCGGGGTTTACGCCAAGGTAACCGTATAACTAATTCCGCAGGCATCTTGTTTGAATAATTTTGCAGCACTCATAGAAAGCTACGGATGAAGGAAGATTGCTCAGTTTTTTTACCATCCAAATTTGGCGTTTGAATCGAGAAGCCAGTAGTTTAGTCTTCCATTTTGCACGCGAATGCTCATTCTTCTTTTATTAAGTCCCGACCACAAAGAGCAGTGGTCAAGCATGCAAATTCCATTTATATCATAAATCTGAAGAGACACCGCTTGCATAACGAAGTATGGGATAGTTTGAGTCTTGAGGAGACAAAGGAGTAGTACAGCCCAGGGTTTGCCCGCGGGGCCCTTCGTTCTTCGACGAGGAATTGGCAGCTTAAAGACTCAAGGCCCCCAACATCAAACTTTTACGACTCAGTAGGTTACCTCATTTCAAAAAATTTGACAAGAACCACATCACGCCCATCACAAATGGGGCGATTGATGATAGAAATTCGATTCTTTCCATTTTTCGCACTCTTTATCTCGAGAGCCTGTCGGCTTCTAGGAGAACTTTCACCACGGATGGCGGGTATGAAGATGAAGTTGAAGAAAGTAATTTATCTAAGCCGTACAAAGAGCGCCAAAGGGCAGGGGAGAAGTGGCGAAAATTGACTGAAAATACCAAGGAGTCCGGTTCTCAGATTTCCAGATCAAGTCTTACCTTTCAGCATCTTGCTGGAAATGAGTCCCTAATCGTTCAGCATGAGCCTGTGCCATAGCCTTTTCTGTTTAGAAACGCAGGGTTTCTCTACGGAGCACCCCCGAGGATCATTCGAGTATGTTTCGGAGAAGCTATCTGGCAACAGTTCTGCATTACAGAGCACAATGATAACTTTCTCTGGGTCCATTACACTGGACCAGGTGTGATGGAGCATGTCAGTAGATCAACAAAACATCTATGGCTCCTGGTGTATCTCAAGTTAACCAGGTTGTATACAAGCGCAACTATCGAATGGAGACTTTGAAGCACGTTTTTCAACAAACAATGGCATGTATCTTAGACAGTGTGAATGCCAGCGGAAGGTCCTGGCAGGAGGGTGACCTAGACACATGAAAGTCTGCTTCGCCGCAGTATGATGCAATCCTGGGATCACCACTCAGCAGGTCAAATGCAAACTTCATGCTGGAGGCACTTAAAAGAAGCACGGGGCGAATAAAATAGATTCATGCCTGGCCTCAAAATGAAGATTCGGCTTACGTGCGATTTGGCATTGAGAATTGTTTCGACCCCGATAGGCAAAAAGGAGTCATTGCAATTGCTCGTAGCACGCTAAACGTTGTCGAAATAATATTAAGATGCGCAGTTTTTTTGAGTTGAGGGAGGGGGTATTGGAGAGGTTTCCGGCGAAGACGTGAGAGGAGAAGGGTAGCCAGAGCACGAAGACGATTTCGTGATAGGTGGAAAAGAGGTAGAGATTCAGAAAACCGGTCTTCACGCATGAACTTGAATTAACTTATTTGAAATAAATACAAGGTCAATCAAAGGACGGAGAATCGGTTACCTGTAGCTGATCCAACACAATTTTAAGGTATAGTGTTAATAATTTCAGTTGAAGATTCAATCATAGGCAGTTTGAACCTTAGTCTAGAATGAAAAGCCGTTTATCACTAAATATTTTCATTAGCCCGCAGGCCGGATACACTAGGATAAAAATTACACCCCACCCATTAACCAATTTGTTTTCCAATTTGAATAGGGCAATAGGGTTTGGATAGTGCACGGGCTTTGGAAGCCAAGTGATCGAGAGGAGAAAGCACCAAGGCAAAGCGAGAGGCGGAGGGTGGCCGTGAATGTGATGATTGCAATGCTTCGAAAATTCAATCAAAAGGCAGAAAAACTTAAAAAGTAAAGAATCAAAAAGTATTATCCTGCTTCCGGCGACACTTTAGCTCGTCGCTCTGCAAATCTTTGGGAATATCATGTCTGCATCTAGATTTTGATAACTTCGCCAATCGCGTGGATTACATATTGGAGATTGCCTTCATTCAGTCCGCATACACTGATGCGCCCTGACGGCAACAAATAGATGTGGAACTCGTCTCGCAGTCGGGAAACCTGCTCCTTTGTCAAGCCCGTATAGCTGAACATGCCAATCTGCGTCTCCACATGCGACCAGTCCTGCTGCGTCTTTTTCTCCAGCCCTCGTCTCAACTCACATCGCATACTCTGAATCCTTAAACTCATGGTGTTCAAATCATGTTTCCACTGTACTCTCAACCCACGCTCGCCCAGAATCTTTTGAACAATACTTGCTCCAAATCGAGGTGGATTAGAGTATTCCCGCCGCGCAATTGTCATGAATTCACCGCGCGCGCCTTGAGCCGAGACATTCCGCGGTAAAACCAGGTGTAAAGCACCGACGCGCTCACCATACAGTCCAAAGTTCTTGGAGAATGACTGTGCAACGCACAGACCTGGATGGTTTTCTAACGCGAGAACATTTTCTGTAAAATGACGAACCGCCCACGCATCGCCGTCAACATCACCTGTCGCAAAGCCTTGGTATGCACTGTCAAACACGATGAATAGCGATCTTTCATGACATAAGTCAGCAATCTGCCGCCATTGAGACTTTGTCAGGTCTACGCCAGTGGGGTTGTGCGCGCAGGCTTGCAGAACAACGACGTCGTTGGGCTCCGCCTGATCTAGGGTATCCATTATCCCAGCCATATCCACTTGCTTCGTACTTGAAGAGTAGTACGGATATTCTGCAACTGTAACCCCGGTCGCCTCCCATATGGATTTGTGGTTGATCCAGGTTGGTGATGGAATGAACACGCGGTTTGGGCGCAGTCGGTCGGCCAGGAATGTGGCAGCAATGTGGTTTGCACTTGTGCCAGACACTGTTTGAATTGAACCAATGTTGTCTTGAATACCGGATACGACGGGCCCGAAAATAAGATCCTTTGCCAGGTTGATGAACGTTGGCGATCCCGCTATTCCCAAATATTCGTGATTTTCATCACGAAGCTGCTCCTTTGCCTATACTGGTCGTTAACTTCTATGTTTAAGTCTTACAACCATGAGTAAAATACCATTCTAACGCTGGGCAAAACCCAGGGCTTGCCACTTTCCTCACGGTATGCTCCTGCAATTAAAGATACTTTGTTGGGGTGAGGGTCTGCATCGAAATCGGCCATCAAACCGAAGGCAGCATCCTCGGCAGGGATGGACAAGTCGAGTAAATGTGTTTCCATCTTGCGATTCCTTGCTTGAGGTGAAATTCCGACGATTGCTCTTTTCTGGAGATGGAGTTGATGAGGTCTGAGAGATGTGCCGAGGAAGCGACCTGGAAAGTCAGTGGGTCTTGAGGAAGTCAAACGTCGGGAGATCATGATATAGCTAGGGCCTCGGGTCTAGTGAATAGAAACAAAATTCGTGGTCAAGCTCAACATCCGCCATCTCTTCATTTTGCCGACCTTTCCATTGGGGTCAAAAAGCTGCAGGTTTCGGTGAGTTGCCAATATACCGTTTGGATTTACAAATCCAGATGAGTCACATCTCGAAAGTCCGAGTGAAGTTGATTTTCGATTTTCGTACAATTCTCCAAGTACGCGATTACCATAAAATCGGCGTAGTCGTACCTTCCCGCGGGCCTAAATAATTCACTGGTTGTTGGGGTAGCTCAGTTGAATATCGGCAAAGTTCCCTTTCGCCGATTCCATGGTCTCCGTCTCCGATCATTCAAAGGCGATCAAACAGTAAACTGGATAATTCTTGGCGATTCTTCAAACTGTCGGCAGGTGCACTTACCCTGATGAATGACTCTAACAATGCTAACCCGGCTTCTCTGAAACCTACATATAGGTAGCTTGAATCCGAGAAAGTCTGCTCAGGTGTTTCCATTGCCTACCTATCACCACAAGCGACTATTACCATGGCTCAAGCCAGCATTTTGAACCGACTGTCAGCACTTGACACTAATACAGTGTCTGACGCCTTGGATTTCCTCCAGCTCAAAGGCGCTACATATGGACTGAGACCTCTTTGGGACTGCCGGAAGATTGTTGGACGTGCCAGCACAGTGGAAGTGGGAATCAAGAAACAAGCCGCACCCACCAAACATCTTCTCACACCAGTTATAGATGCAGTCACGACGGATGACCGTATCCTCGTCGTCTCTGGCGGTACAGAGGGAGTGTCCTGCTGGGGAGACATCGTCGCCAATGCCTCACAAATGAAAAGGATCCGGGGAACAATCATCGATGGCATGAGCCGCGATATCGATGGTAGTCGAGATATCGGATATCCGGTTTATGGCCGAGGCGTGACCATGATCAGCGCACGCAATCGGATTGAGCAACTCAACTCCGGTAAGCCTCTGCAGGTCCGGGGTGTCACGGTCAACGAAGACGACTATGTGATCGCCGATCGATGCGGAACAGTCTTCGTCCCAGCCGAGCGCATTGAAGAGGTTTTGGACCTGGGAGAGAGGATCGACCGTCGTCAGGCCCTTATGGTTCAGGATGTTCTGGCCGGCAAACCTGTGTCAGAGGTCATGCATGACACGAAATTCGAAGCCATCCAACAGAAGAAAAAACCAATATCCGCCGCACCCGCCATGAAAGCACCCAACCGAAACCCGAAGGGTGCTAGTGTCGAAGATCAAGAGTTGTCAGCTCTTTTTGCCAACTCAGATACTCCCGGGGTCTCTGATGCACTTGATAAACTCGGAATCGCCGGCCAGGCATATAATATTATGCCTTTGGCTAATTATAAAAGAGTCACCGTGGGTCCGGCCTTTACAGTTCGCTACGTTCCTGCCAGCAGCCCACCTGGAAGCGTTGGTGACTTCATCGACGACGTCGCTACTGGAGATGTCGTTGTTATTGACAATGGTGGTCGCACTGATTGCACTGTTTGGGGCGATATAATGACTCAGTATGCTGGTTTACGCGGCATTGCTGGTACTGTCATTGACGGCGTTTGCCGGGATGTGAATTGTGCGATAGACGAGAACTATCCAGTCTTTACGGCTGGACGTTGGATGCGAACCGGTAAAGACCGTGTTCAAGTTGGAGGCGTTAACGAGTCGATTGGCATCGGAAAGGTGCGTGTTCAACCTCGAGACATTGTTGTCGCCGATGCAAATGGTGTTGTTATTGTTCCGCGAGATCGAGCTCGTGAGGTTGCTGAAATCGCACACAAGATCGAAATGAGCGAAAATGGCATCCGGGAATTGATCGCTGGGGGTGCTTCGATTGCGGAGGCAAGGGAGAAGCTCGGTTATCACACGTTGCAGCGGAAGGGATAGAGAATGTTTGAAGCTATTTTCTGGGCCATAAAGTGCGAGCTTTTAGATTGAGTAGCTGGCTAGTAACTACAAGCTCTGAAAATATTAAAATTCATTTTCCTGTCAGTAACCAATGATTACTCGAACTACGGATTGGTTAGTATCTAGGTATGTTTGTAATTTGCCAGGGTGCGGGAGATACTAGTAATTTGGTACGGTGCACCATATTAGCAACGGACTCAAAAACTATCGCCGTGCTATCCTCCATTTTTCAAGTTATTTAGTCTCTATAACTCATTTGATTTTAGCAATGCAGTATGGCGAGGGAGAGCAAACGTCTGAAGTAGAAGTGAGCAGAGGAAAAGAGTGCAGATTCGTAGCAGCTGTGTCCAAATGTGTAGATGAATGGTGGGTAATCCATCGGTCTTAATTGAGAAAAGAGCCCATCCTGGAATCGTAGCTTCGAATGGTCTAGGAGTCTTGGCCCTATCCGTTTGGGGGGGAGAGTGGTTAGGTTGATTAATGAAACGCTAGTACTTAGGTAGCTGCCTTGAACCACCTTTTTGCCATTTTTGTTTTTTGTCCAGGTCTAAAGATCGATTTCAGGACTCGGCGTTCTTTTTGCCCTTTCCATTCTTTCTTTGCTGCTGCTGCTGCTGCTGCTGCTGTTGTTGTTGTTGTTGTTGTTGTTGCCTCCAGTGAATCGTGACTGCCAGATGCATATGTTTGCTGCCCCTACACCGTGACTGAGTGGGTCAACTTGGGCGGGTTTCTGGGGCCATCGTCGCTCCGAGGCGGTGCTGAACTTGAATCCCCCGGCCTTTGCGCCTTGGAAAATGCCGAACTCCAGGACTAGGGAAATTGATTCGGTCATCCAAGCCACCGAACTAGCGGATCTCGCTCGTTTCCCAAAGCGAGACCCAAGACGAATTATTTCGGCGGCATAAAAATTCCTTTGTGTATCCTCTCAATGCTGACCGCAATATATTCACAGACAAGTTCTGATCACTGGTATTGAGGATAATGTCCAATTCGGGAAAGAGTTCGCCTCATATATCTTGACAAACAATGATACCTAGGTATAAGGTATCTTTTTCAGATGGCTCTGAGGAGGAGAGCTCTTTACTTGTTGGAGCAGATAGTGCATTCTCCCGGATCAGACAACAATTCGTACCTGACTGTCAACTCTTCGACACTGAAGACCGATGGATATAGGGAAAATCCACGATAACACAGGATTTCCATCGAAAATTTCAGGCCAAGGCCCTCAATAGCATAAATCTCATCCGAAGACTACGTCTACTGGCTTCTTGTTTCACGGAAAAACAAGTTTGATCTTGGAGATGAAGACTTGTTGAAGCTCTCAGCCGATGATTTATTCAGTCTGGCTAAAAGATTAACGGCAAACTGGGATCCCTCCTTTCACGCCCTCTTCGAATCCGAAGATAAAAACCGAGCTTCTCTTTTACGCGTGGTGACAGCGAAGCCTGAAATACCTTTTTGGGAAGCATCGAGCCGTGCGACTCTCATCGTAGATGCTATCCATGCTATGTCGCCCACTTTTGCCGCCGGGGCTACAACAGGATTGAGAGATGCTGCAATTTTGGCGCGAACTCTAAGCGAAATTGGAGGGGATAATTGCTGTATCTAAAAGTATGAGGAAGCCATGAGAGTATACGCGAGTGAGCTGATCAGATGGGGTTATATGGTGGGGAATGGCTTTTGGATTGCGACCGTTCGAGGAGCTGCGTCCTTTTGCAGTGTAGAAAGCAAATCTCACTTTTCCTGATCAAGCCCTGGAGGTATTCGTGATTTATCAATCTTGAGTATAGGAATAATCATCTTGTGCAACACCTGCCAGTGGGAAGTTAGTGGCTTAGATTGTTCTTCAGGAGAAATCAGCCTGTGCCATCGCTGATGAAACCGGTTGGAACTTTATACCACAAAGGGCATGAAGTTTAGTACTCACATTAGGGATAAATAGAATTGTAATTTTAGAGCTAAATTTTCCTCTCATTCAATTTAGGTCTGAGTTACGTTGGTATCAACCCTTCGCGGCTTAGCTATCTACTCCAAATGCGAATGGCATGTCCTATTTGCAGTGCATCACGAACGCGCAACTTGCAACTCGCTCGCATACCAGCTCTGAATCGCTCGAATATCATAGCTCATGGCCACTGTATCGAAAATCTCTAGGTGTTCTTTGCAAGAAGCTCCGTCATTTGATAATCGGCCGACCCATTTACCATGATTCTTAGCAGCTACCACGATCTTTTCGATAGCATTGACAAAATCAGGCTCGTTTCCCTTGGCCGGAACAGAACCAAGAATAGATAGAGCAAGGTCGTTTGGCCCGATAAAAACCATGTCTTAACTGAGATGAGCGAAGGTATCGATGGGGAAGCAGGGTGTATTTTGTTACTAACCAACACCGGGTACAGCACAGATAGCGTCAGTATTATCGACGCCAGTTCGAGATTCAATTTGAACACAGGTGATGATAGTTTCGTTCGCTGTTTTCATGTAGGTTGGAATATCGATGCCGTGAGCGATGGCTGGAAACGCTGAACCCTGCCCACGAAGTCCCTGTGGAGGGAATTTTGAACATTGAACAACGGCTTCTGCCTCTTCGGCGGTATTTATTTGAGGAACAACAATTCCGCTAAGAACAACTTAGCACTAATAGTAACAGAGGGCTGTATTACTTACTGCGCACCGGCATCCAAAGCTCTTTTGATCAAATCCGAATGAGTCATTCTGATGCGGACAAGCGGCGACACCCCCAGAGCTGCAATAGCCGCAGTAGAGCTATGCATACCTTCATCACTGATATGGCCGTGTTCACAATCGATGATAATTCCCTTCTTTTGTTAGTTCAATTATGGAGTGCAGAAAACGCAGGGTAAATACTGACATCGACACCAGTCAAAGCAACCACCTGAGCCGTTCGAAACGATGGAAGGCCCAGGAATGTCATAATGGGCTTCGCATTTTCTCGAAGCGCGTTCAGCAATCTTAATTGTGGATTGCGAATCAAGCTTGTCATGACTGAAGGGAACGACATTCTTTGTTGCAAAGCAGAAGAAAAAAGTATAAATTGTTCTTGGCAAGAGTTCCTGCGGAGAAAGTGGTGAATTCCAAGGTTTCACGTCACGGAAATAGACAGTGTAGGTAAGATACTAAGTAGTATAATATGGTTTGAGAAAGTAGTAGAATCGCTTATTGGAGAACCTTTGAATTTGTTTCCTTTTTATCACCAAGTGTTGCGTTCCCACCTGCCAGTGGGCACCTGGGCACCTGGGCATGTTCGGTCTGTGATCGCCGGTGACATAGATCTATACCGAGCGAGCCCTGGAGGGCAACTTGAACGTCCCGACTCGGAGGTCCGAGTCACTGGTTGAGTGCAGCTTCAAGAACCTTGGAATTTGAAGTTGAGAGCCTTTTAAAAGAAACGAATCCTCATTTTCCTACTGAATAGTAAAAATAGACTTCCAATACACTGAAATTCCAACTAGAATAAAGTGTAAAAATATTGAGAAAACATCGCTTAGCGCTCTGATGCGGACTCGGCAGTAACGGGGTGATGACTTTTTGCCGAGCTGATTTCCAAGCATCGGCCGCAGATCATTTTTGCGATCGTCAAAGATAGAAATAACTAGCCTGTCGCCTTCGTTATTGTTTTATAATACATAATTCTCAGAATAATTTTTCCATGAGCGTCAACTCTTCTTGAGAACGAGGCAATCAACCTTACGGGGCCATAGCTATAATGTTTCGACGACGTTGTGATTGTCGGGATTAATCCATTGGAGTTATTAAGAGAACATTCAATTGAGTCTAAATTAAATGACACCCAGTGGGCAACAATGAATTTGACGTGAATGTATATCCCAGCCGGCGTGTAAGATGCGGATTTCCGAATCTATCATGGACCGAGCCTGGCACCTGGTGGGGAATTTCGGGGTCATACCTAGTAGACTGACTGCTGCTAGCGAAAAGGCCAATCCAAACACATGTAAGTAAAGTGAGGCGGCTTTAAACTTTTCTTTTCTTTCTTTTTGTTTTGTGTGCAATCATTGATGTTGCACATTCCTTTACTTCCTTGCAATTTAGTGTGACGTCATCGCAATCGAGGGTTTCCTTCTTTTCAGCGAATTGCAAACTACAGTACTCAACCACCCGATATACTCTATCAGCAACATGGTAGGGGCTTCCCATGGGTTTGCGCTGGTAGCACCAGCCTCGAGGGGGCTAGGCCTCGCATTCGCCCAGAAATTGCTCACGAAAACTGAGCTCCCAGTCGTCGCAACAGCGCGCAATGATTGTGCTGAGGTTCGAGGCCGAATTCTTAACGGCAACAATATGCCTTCCAATGCGGAAAGGAGACTCCGCTTACTGAAAGTGGACGTGAAAGGTACTTGGGATAACATTTCGTTATTGCAGCCCTTGAGGGAAAGCGGCTTACAATTGATGGCTACAGATGAGTCCACGATTTCGTCAATGGCAGACATAATCCGGAGAGATTATCCAGACACACCGCTTCGTCTAGCATTGACGGTCCCGGGAATCCTCCACATTGAAAAATCGCCATCACAAATCGATGCAGCAAGCGCATTAGAGAGCTTTCAGGTTAATGCCCTGGGCCCACTCTTGCTTATGAAACACCTGTCTCAATTTCTTCCAGCCAAGTCTGCACCTGAATTCCAAAGGACAAGCAAAACAGAAGCAGACGGAGAAAGTCAACTCGAGCTACCATCCCATGCAGTGTATGCGATGATGGCTGCACGGGTGGGTTCAGTCTCTGACAATTCTTCCGGTGGTTGGTACTCTTATCGTGCGAGCAAGGCCTCTGTATTTCAACTGGCAAAGACCTTTGACTTGTACCTGCGATCAAAGTCTGGAAAGAGGGCTTTAGCTGTTGCTCTACACCCCGGGACTGTTCGTACAGATTTTACACAGGACTTTTGGAAGGGCAGAGAAATGTTAGACCCGTTGGATTCCGCGGAGCGGCTTTTGGAATTCATAATCGGAATGTCGCCAGATGTTGAAGGAGGGAGAGGCAAGTGTTGGGATTGGAAGGGAGAAGAAGTATATCCATGATCGATTCTCTTTGGAAAATTGAACGAAGTCCACAAGTTCAAGTTGGGCATCCATGGATTGCTAGTACTAGTGTATTCCACCAATGCCCCGTGGCAGGTGGTCATTATTTGCCGAGGTCCAATTAATGTATTCCAAACTTCAAATCATTACTAGCAGCAGTGGCTTTATCCTTGGATTGGCCATGGTTGAAGAAGAATGACCTCGTGTTTTTTTTTTTACCTAGGAGGGGCTAACGCTTTGAGAGAACCCTATCAGGCGATAATTGTCAAAATGAGGCTCAGCCAACCGGGGTCCACTTCGGCAACCATGAATGGGCCAAGACCATAGTCACGTAGGACAAGTGAGACAGAGCAAGAGAAGGCCACTAATTGCCAGCCCCCACGGCGAAGGAAGAGACATCAGGGTGGCTGACGGGAATAACCCCGGCTAGGTTGTGTTTTGCAAAAACTTCAATCCAAATAAGGCGTATCTGCCAGTAAACCCCGAAGTTAGCAGAACACCGGGATGCCGGGTGCATTCTTGACCAACCAAACAGTGGGGGTTTCGAGGCTAATCATGCAGTCAGCAACCACAGGTCGTTTGGCGCGTGCTAGTAAGCCAAATTCCACTGCCCCCACCACAACTCAGAAAGCCACAATGTGTCAGGGTCATGGTAAGGCGACGAGGCAGAATTTGAGCTTAATATCCTCTGTTCCCGCCCGAAATCTTGCAGAGTGGATCGTCATTCATTCTCTTAACTCAACTACTTATGATCAAGAAACTTTGCAAATTTTCAAATACGCAATAAAAAAACATCATCATGTCTGTTTATGATCTTTTCTTTGCATTCGGAAAACCCGGAACATACTTTCTCGACCACTCCATCAATACTTGCGAGTAAGTTTCTAGAGACTGTAGCTTCTGTTGACGGATAGTATCATTATCCCGCCTAACCTTCCGACCAGGCAAAGACTACCAAGAAGCTACTACGAGTGGACGGAAACAAAACCCATCCAGACTGTGAGCTCCTTCGCCGCCAATGCCAACGATACACTTTTTATGTGCTGGAAAGATAGGCATGGTCGTGGCCAAGCTGGTAAGCACGTCACCCCTCATTGTAAATTTGTTCAACATCATTCCGGCAATAGATGAACTTACCTTGCATTTCACAGGTTATAACAGAGGACTCAAGCATGATTATCCTCAACTCTACGAGTTCATTGAGGAGTACGGAAAGAAGAACTGCCGCGTAGCATTTGGACCTGACCCGGGAAACTTTGTTGTTTTCGTTCCAGAGACGGGCAAGGCGAGATGGAAGCACAAGCGGATCGACAGGAGTAGAGTGCTTAAGAGCACGAGACGCGTGAAACATTGCTCTCTCGGGCAAAACGATGCCTATGTTGTCCTATGGGCTGATGGAACTGTCACTTGGGATATTGAAGACAACTACCCAGAGCTAGACAAGATCCTCGAAGACACCAGCCAAGGAGATGTTGTGGTATGTTGAAAATTCGGGCATTTAATTAAGAATACAGCATGATCTGACTAGTTAATAGTTCGTTTGTTTAAATCCATATCGATCTAACGAATTCTTTATTGCCCTCGCCGATGGCGTGGTGCATATTCGGGCGAGCGCGCTTGCAGAACGGGATGTTCTCAATATTCTGAGCGACTATCCGAGTATTCAAGTCATAACAAGCAGTGTGACTAAGTCAAGTAAATCTCTTTCAGCGAAGCTTGGCCTGGGTTCGAGCGCGCGCACAAAGGAGTTCACCAAATTTATGGCAAAGCAGGTTGCCAGTGGTGTCGTATCAACAGCCATAGCGGCCACGTTCTCAGGCTGTACAGTGATGTAATCTAGCATCCTTGTGGCTTAACAATTAGTATATTAGCTTTTCAAATCGGTGTGCAAATTCAACCAGCCCGGCATAATTAATTCTGGAATCAAAGAAGCAACAATGGTGGGTCCATAATGTCCATAATCAGGTCACTTCAAAGACCATGGCAAGCGCAGGTGAAGAGCCCGAAGGCAAACATTGAAGCAACTCGCAAACCAAACTTGAAGTTTCCGAGTCCGAGAAATCCTTCGTCCACCAGGCCTCTATTCTTCGGCCTCGGGGTCTATCTGGGTCGCACCTACCTAGGTACCTACGGGTATACCTCTCTCTTCTTCTTTCTCATTCACTTAGTCACCACCTGGGCACACACCCGTGGACTCCGAGTCTTTCTCCCTTTACCAACATATTTGATCTCTCTGCCATTCGATACCCTCAAATTATCGTTTATTTTCATCTCAATTGCTGTCGCACCTTTCATCCGCGGCCCCTCGGTGTTCTCCAAATCTTCGTGGAATGGATCCAGCCATAACGTCCAAGATGGCATCCGACGAACACATGGTGAGCCAGCGGCAGGCGTCTACTGCCGAGATGATGCGTCGTATCCAGACGGCTGAGAATGTTCTTATGCCCATCCCCCACGATGTCTTTGTGACGCTTTACCTGACCCCCAAAACCCCAATTGCGGGAAGTCTCCGCCGCACTTTCGGTAACTCAACTCCGATTTGCCTTCTTGGGTTTCTGGTCTCTGCGACACCATGTGCCATGATCAAAATGGACTGGAGGGGCTCGGGTGGAAACGGTGGTGCGATCCTGTAGATTTTAGCTGATTGTTCGTTTTTGACTTGGGGGCGATCCTGACAGTCTTTTTCTCTTGGACAGACCCTCCTACATATTCTTCGGAGGCCAAGTTCATATCTTGGGTACTGTTGGCAAATGGATCATTGGAAACACATTTCCCTGTGTAGTTTTTTTTCACCTACGGTTAGTGCGGACAACTTAAAGACTCTCTTCTAAGGGATTGATCGCATAAGAGGTTAAAAACTGACATCTTGACAGGAGCATTTTTGGTCGTTCAAGGCACCATGATGATACCCTTCGTCGCAGTTGGGCAGAACTACTATTCCACTGGAAACTCTCGATGGAATGCATACATCTGAATATCACGCGACCTTGGGTTTCTATTACCTGACTCTTGCGGTAATCTCATTGCTCTATCTGGTCTGCTCGATTCGCACAAATATTTGCTTTTTCTGGAATTGCTGTCAATCGTCTGCGGGTTTTTCTTGTTGGCAGGGGTTTTCTTTCAAACCGCGCTGGGAAATTTGACTGGGGCTGCACAGCTTCAAAAGGTATGCTATTGTGAGAGACCGGTGGATCAAAGAACATTGATACTGACCAAGTGACATCGATCATAGGCTGTCGGCGCGTTCATCTTCGCTCTTTGCATGCCAGCTTGATACCTATTCGCTATCCAGATTCTTGAAGTTGTTGACTTTCCTATTACACTACCAGTTGGCGATCTCAGTACTGTTGTGCGTGGGCGACAGGAAATGTTTCAAGGGTCTCAAGGTCTTCATGAACCATGAAGACTGTTTTATTGAGCACTCTAAAGTCAACAATGTCTTAACTGTGACTCTAATCAATCAAACTATTGTTCAACGAATTCAATGTTGCTAGTTAATGCCAAGGCATGTAAAAATCACTTGTATCTACTTGCGGTTCCTCCGCTCTTGCCTCAAAGTTCTCTCGCCTTTTTTCTTCTCCAAACATAGCAATTATCTTGAACGATGCTGCATAAATTGTTGATATCGATCTTCGTTGTACCTGAGCGCCTTATTCGGTCAAACTAGACTTGGTATGACACCTTACAATTCAATTTTGTCTGGCTTACTTACTATCTAGTACTATAAACTGAAAAAAAACAACCTAAAGCTTGGACTTCAAATCTGCAGCGGAAGTTATTGAAAGACCCTTCAGGGATCCTTCATCCCTCCAGTTCTGGATGTACTCGAGGAAAGAGACGGTCCCCTCAGACCATGGGGACCCCTCTCGCCCGCTTCAATTTCTCATCGGCATCGGTGATTCTGCTCCCTTCGCCATAGCCATTGAAATATCCGGGTGTGCACCCAGCCGAAGGTGCATAAAATGCAGCTCGTCTCAGGACCTCCGAAGTGTGAAATTCTTCTGCCTCCTTTGTTGCCTCGACAATAGCCCGCTTGTTTGGTCCCACTCGACGCTCGGCCTGAGAAATGGAATAAGCCACATGTCCTGCAATCAACCCAAGCATGAAGACATTATTTCCTGTTATGGTGGCCTGGTTCATCCCCGTGAAAAATAGATTTGGGAATCCATAGGTTGCATAGCCGTGAAAGGTTGCAGCTCCCTTGGACAGCCACTTGTCGCTCAACGATTCGCCACCGCGACCATAAATCTTGACATTGGTTCGAGCTGCAGGATTTCCAAGACCAGAGCTAGGTGATTGATATCCAGTGCCAAAGATAATGACGTCAACCGGATACTCTTGCTCGCCTACAACAATACCACTCTTTGTTATCTTCGAAGGACCTTTGCCATCGGTATCAACCAAATGAACGTTTTGTCGATTAAAGGTCTCGAGATAGGTATCACTGAAAGTTGGTCGTTTGCACCACGATGGGAACCAAGGCTTAAGCTTTTCAGCCGTCTGTGGATCCTTGACAGTATCTGCAACTCGGTCACGAATGGCCTCCATATGCGGCAAATCCAGAGCATGGAATTTGTCTACATGCGCAGCCAAGGCTTCAGGCGACGCATCCTCGAGCCCATGGCCGGGAGATCCAAGAACAGCCGAATACGCAGGCATATCGGTCCAGCCATCCCCGACCAAATTCTCCTCCCCTGGTGCCGCAGAATTCGTGAGAAATTTGTTGAGATTTATTTGGCGCTCATACTGCCATCCCTTCTTTCGTGACACTTGAGTCTTAAATCCACTCAGATCAGTCGGACGCTGGTCTCGACGTTTGACATATGCTGGTGTGCGTTGAATCACATAAAGCTCAGCTGCATACTTGGCGACCTCGGGAATTACCCCGATAGCCGTTGCCGCAGTACCAACAACAGCGACTTTCTTTCCATTCAATTTGGTCAGTCTCTGGTCTTTCTGGGATCCCCCAGTTGCTGAATAGTTCCACCGTGCAGTGTGGAACATTGATCCGGAAAAGGAAAGTACCCCGGGGATGTCAGGAATTTGAGGTTTGGTCAAGACTCCAGCCGCAAGATAAACATAATGAGCATGAAAGTTGAGTTTCACTGCGGGCTCAGATGGACCGCGGTTTTGAGTGACTTTAATAGTCCAGTACTCGGTCTGATCGTTCCACGCGATCTCTTCGACATCGGTTCGGAATAGCGTCTTATCCTCGAGATTCCACTTTGCAGCAATGTGTTCTGCATGTTCACGAATTTCCTGGCCAGGGGCGTACTTTTTTGTCGGAACATAGCCAGTTTCTTCGAGTAAAGGCAGATAAACATAACTCTCCACATCACAGTGCAGGCCAGGGAAGCGATTCCAATACCAAGTGCCGCCAAACCCGCCCGCAGCGTCCAAAAGTCGAATTTCATCAGCGGTGGCTAACCCGTCTTCAATAAGACGGACGGCGTATTGGATGCCTCCGAAACCAGCCCCGAGGACAAAGTGCTTATAAACGCCGTTTTCTTTGATTGGGGACTCCTTTCTGTTCAATTCGTCGTGATCGGCCCATGGATCTTCCACAAGCTCACGCAGACGTTTCTCGTCTGTTTGCGTCAATTGAATAAAATGCGTAAGTCGCTCGGCATTAAGACGTTTGTTTGCCTCCTCGGTATATCGCTTTTTTACAGCCTCTAACTTTTCGCGGCTGAACGCTTCTGTTTTTTCTTGGAACGCCGCCATCCTGAGGCAGCTTAATTTCAAAGGTTTCAAGGTTGAGAATGAGCTTAGACCTAAGCGCCTCCGAATCGTCCTCTCAAATCACTGTAATGATCAGACTGTCCGCGAGAGCTGCGTGACCCTTATGACTTCCAAGGTTTGAGGGGTTGGGTGATGACGTGAGATTTGATGCAGAAGACGTTACATGACACGCCAAATGGTGCCAAACTTGCCTCATCAAATCGGGGTATTTATTATGAGCTAACAATATATTAAAATGAGAACTTGATAAAGCAGACGGAACTTTTACAAAGAACTATCCGCCCCAATAAGAAGTTATATCGGATATATGTACCAGTACTAGTATTACCCGGGCGCCATTTCGAACAATGAGAACAGTAACCATCACATCAGTAAAGGAGATCGAAATGAGTGCCTTGGATAAACCCTTGAAGATACTGACCCCTAGAGCGAGGTAATCACAGTCTATTCTAGAGATATTACCACCCCTGCTTAGTAGGAAATTGAAATGAATAGTACTCATTTTGAACACGACAAATTAAACAACTCCAATCCAGGAACATTCAAAACCACCTGCAGTATTTTCATTTTTCACTAGGGGGGTGAGAGTTAGCAGTGCAATGCAAAGTTTATAGAGGGGCAAAAAGAATCTGATAATTTTGGTTTGAAATTCAAAGGTTCAAGTTGGAATCAAACAAAACTTGAAAGGCAAAGATTTCACTAACAAAGATGGATGCCAACGTATCTAAGTACCGGAGGATATATTTCCAGCGCGAGCATTGTAGATCATCACTCCCATTGACCCCAGCGGGCTCGACGATGTCAAAACACCTGAGCATTCTCTAGCCATAGGATATCTTTCAAACAGGCTTTCCTCGAGTTCTTCCAAAGCTTCTTTGCCTGCATTAGTGAAGTGAACCTTTGGTCTCGTCTTCTTAATTTCGATAAAACTTTCTAGCTTTTAAGTCCATCATGTCAAGCCAGACGCGCTTGAGCATGATTGGGACAATCTCGATATGGGAGCTATGAGCGTTCAGAGACAATATATGACTCAATGCTTTGACCCTGACCAGTATCTTAGTTAGTTCATGAGAAAAGCATTCTGGAACGCAGTCACAAATATCAAGAAACGCATCACCCCCGAGACCTGAAGGATAAGATTTAGATTTTCAGCAAACTCAGCTAGGCCTTCTGCGACTGTCAAGATATCAACTTCATCCAGCCTTATTTGTCGAATCAATCCCTCTGACTTCTTAAAAGCTTGCTGTAGTCGGGTCTCATAAATACTTTCCATTAAATGAGGAGACATGGGAGCGGAAGGTTCAAAGCATTATTCAATAACTGGAAGCACAGTTCCCAAATAAGAATATCCAATTTCGACGCCAGGAGCGTGGGCTGGTGGTGACTTTTTGCGAGGTGCCATGCTGGATATCAATTCGAAGCTGGGTATGATTATAAGGTATACTGAGTGGATTTTAGTCTTTGTGGATGATGCTTCGGATTCGAGTTCTCACCTCAAGTTGTGATGTCTGATATAATTGTAAGGTTGCTCGGGGTATTTACGGCTTATAAAGTAGAATCCCTCGAAGACATGAGTTCAAGGGGATCTTTGATAGATTTCCCTTGTCCTCGAACAACTTGAAGATCGAGATCTTCGTAAAAAATGCCCTTTGCTTCTAGAAAAAACCATTCTTGAGTCGCATTAAAGTGGACAGAACTGGGGTCACTGTATTGTTTAGGTATGACCAAGAGATTATCCAAGAGGTCCAAGTGATTCAAGGTAATAACCACAATGGAAACACCCCTCGTGCATGCTATGAATCTTTGCTATACTACAGTAGTTTTCGAGAAACTCCAAAGTGATAGAAACCTTGTAAAAGGAGGCCTTGGAAGCGAAAGCGAATATTTGATTTGCGTTTGGAATCAACATTAATTCAAAGAAACCCCAGTCACTCCAGTTTGACAATACTCGCATCGCTTGAAATTGTAAACGAATTATCTCTAGGACCCATTCAGCTGTTAGCTTGGATCACAGGCTCCAGGTCCTCCTCACTCCACCCAGCCTTCCGCAGAATCTTGCAAAGAATCTCCGTTTTAGCACTCGCATACTGGCCGATATTTTCGAACTCGCCTTCTGCTAGCAATCCCTTGGTCGCAGAGTATTCCTCGCGCAAATTCTCATCTTGAAGCAAGATTCGTTTTATATCGAGGTGGTTCCTCAGAGCCGGGCATCCTTGAATAATGAGGTAGGTGTTATGCCGCAGTTCTCCGTCTCTACCTAGGCCGTGAGCGGCGTCGTATCTTCCATATCCTGGTTCTCGGAACGCAAATCGTCCTGGGACGTTCATTTCGCCACAGTCTGTGTACCCCGCAGCACTGAGGGCACGCCGTGCTGCTGCGAGGGAAGAAGGTTGGATTATGATGTCGACGTCAATGACAGGCTTGGCTCTGAGACATGGGATTGACGTGCTTCCAACGTGCTCGATTGAAACGATTGTCACATCTGCGAGGACTTTTTGGATCGTGCTCTTTATTTCGCGGAATTTGATTGGCCAATCGGGGTTGGAAGGTTGGATTTCGACCTTCATTTTTGAGGATGGTAGAAGCTAGGTGGCTCTAAGGGTCCGGGGGAGGACTGGTAAGATGTGCTCGGATTTAACCGTGATTATGCAATCGTGTGACCCTTTGCAACCTTCGAGTGGTAAAGTGCGCTGCAACAAACTCACCGACAGATTTCGCTTGATATTTGCAACAAATTAAAAAGTAGATTATTTTGTTGCCGGCAAGTATGAGGTGACTGCAAGACAGTGGAGAGAGATTGAGTTCAGGCGGCCGGCCAAGCAGATATCAAAATTTCCTCAAAATTCACTCGGTGCGGCGGCAGGAGATCCGAATCAACATCCTTTGCCTTTGTTCCGATCAAGACCAGGTGGGGCGTGCCCAAAATAGATTGATGGACTCGAAGTGGCTGGGGTCAACAAACAAAGCAATTTTAAGTTTATTACGAGTCATATAATGGGACCTATCCCATCAAAACATAATTTGAAGTTTATTATGTGCTATTAAGTTACCGTCTTGGTTGAAATTGTTTAGATCAGTATTTAAGTTTTCAACAACTCGGATCTGAGTGCTAGTACAATATTAAAAAGACTCTACGATGATAGGAATGAACTTTTGGATTTCCTTTTTGTTGATGGAAGAATTCGAATTGATTTCTCCGCTGCCCAACACAATACCTCATCTGTATCTATTTCTACCAAGTAAACCAAACATTCTAGATGAGCTCGAAAGGGGCGCTGATGGAAAAAAATCAGAAAATCGTTTCACGCATACAACACTTGTGACACCGGCAGTTGGAGTCTAGAGGGCGGATTGCCAAAACCTGGAAGTTAACAGAGATCTGCTGAAAAATAGCAGAGGAATCGCCGGGTAAGAAGTATGGGGGAAACCTGAGCCGGTGACTATATCTGGCCAGATGGATCTCATAATACCGCGCATGGTCGTCGATATGCCGGCAGTCACAAATGCTAAGAGTAGTAACAAGGCACATAATACCGTAAAGCGCCCATGAAATGTGATACGCTAGGTTGGGGCTGAGACGAAGCTCCGTGGCGTACTCTCGAAGCTGGAGACTATACCTGTGACACCGCTCCTCAAAACACTCGGGGGTCTGGTTGTTATCGGAGTTACCCTGTTGCAGTCCGAGAGGCAGAAGGATCTCGACTATGTCCTCGGCAACGCTTTCAATACGGCTTGCATTCTCTTCCATGTCAGCACGTGGCATGACCACCAGATCGCACAGACACTCGATATCGCCGACGGTAATCTGTCGCTCCTCCTCGAAAGTTCGAGTGACAGCAGTAGACATGATGGATGTGATGGATGATGGGGTTGTATCTGAAGACTTCTGTAAGCTGTTTGACTGTAATACGAAGCTATACTAGTAGTAGTAGTATGGCCACCTGGATACTAGTACCTAGTACCTAGTACCTACCTAGAATACTAGGTCCGAGTCCCGAGTTGTTCAAGTTTGTTGTAGAAGATGATGCTGTTGCTGGTGCTGAGGTAGGATGCAGTTTATATAGACCAAAGGCACCTGGTCATAAGTCCACCGACCAATATATAAATTCTTCAGGGCTCGAGCGGAAACAATGAAGTCAAGTCAAGACAATGAAATCCATCCGAACAAAATTTACATTGTCAAATTCCAACAAGGACCTCGGGAGACAAAAATCTCTTGTTTAGAGAATCAATATTGTCGAGGGCTTTGTCGGAGACGATCGGCAGGCTCATATCGTTTGGATGAAACATTCGAATATAATAGAGCATAAAGAAAACAAAGGAATAAAGGAGAAAGTAAATGAGGCTTAAATTGAAAGTCTGGATAACCAATCGATTCAAGTGGGAACTTCAAGTTGGTGGGTCGGGCTCCGCGGAAGCCGAGTCCAGGAGTAAATCCTAAATTCCACCACGGCTGAACCAAGTAGATACAACATTATTACAAACACTTTCATCCTATACTCATTTCTACCGCATCGCAAGTCAATTGTGAGGAATGTTGACTGGCAGTGGACTCGGCGTGGTCACAGTATGTCATTCCCTCTTCAAAACTGAACCCCTTGTTAAAGCAGACAGGCAGCCGCAATCGCCGCGCTTAGCAGCGAAGTCGTTTTCCATCCACTGGATACGATGATAACTCGCATGCAATGCAAAGACTACAAAACAGTATACAAGCACAGCAATGGATCACTAAGACGCGCTTTATTCACTGGTCTCTATCAGGGATTTGGCCCAACAGTACTTTCCGGCATCCCTGCTTCAGCCGCATTCTTCGCAACATACGAGGTTTCAAAAACATCATTTGAAAGAGCGCAGCGTGCTGGATATTTGCCAGGCGTTCCGAAGTCAATATTCCATGCTATCAGCAGCGCGACGGCCGAGCTTGTTTCTTGCGCAATCCTCAACCCTGCCGAGGTATTGAAGCAAAATGCCCAGGTTTCTCAACAATCCGCAAATTCGCCAAAAGGAGGTCCGTCCACCTCACTTGAAATGTTGAAGCATTTCTATAAGCAACCATCGGCATTGTGGTCGGGATATTGGATGCTTGTTGCTGGCCAACTTCCTAGTATCTGTCTGACCTTCTGCTTGTACGAGTCCTTCAAAGAATCGCTATACGAGAAACAACCCCAATTCGCCGATACAACCATGGGACAAATCAAAGCTAGTGTTTCATGTGCTGGTGTTGCTGGAGGCTGTGCTTCTTGGTTCTTTGTTCCAATTCACGTTGTCAAAACACGGATGCGGTTGGCTCTGGGAGATGAGATGCGACCTCGTTCCTCAGTGGATAAAGTCGGACTTGGAACTGCTGAGATCCACTCTTCCTGCGAGTAAGACCAGGTGCACTCGCTGTTGCTCGAGATTTATTCGCCAGGGAAGGAATCCCGGGCTTCTTTCGTGGTTCTCAGTTGACATGCATTGCAGCAATAGTGTGCAGTGCGATGTACATTGGTTCCTACGAAGGGGTGAAACTCTGCATGGGGACTACTGATCTATTACTAGTGTAGAGACTGAGCTGCTATGAGTAGTAGTTTGAGTTGTTAGAAACTCCCCTCTCTCATGTATAATAAAAATGCCCAATGATACCCCACTCAATATAATTATACTAGTACCATCTCCAACTTGGAACTCATAGTCTCACTTGAGATAGCAACTTTATTTCGAGCAGAAACCACAAAACAACAATGCTTATATTCATAAGAAACACTTCGGCGTAAAATAGACATCTAGAATTCAGTTCTCATGGGGGGTATAAATCTAAACAAAGACAAGGCCAACACACGCCAAATCACCGCCACCCACCAACTCGCCCCTCGTCCCATCGGGCCTTGGCCTCTTTTCTCGCCGCCAACTTCGACCCTTCGCCCCGAACCCGCCGGATCCAATCGGCAAGCTCCTTCTCAGAAGGCCGACCGTGATGATCCTCGTCAAGGAAGCTCTCCTCAACAGCCTGGCAAACAGCCTCTTGTTCCGCGATCGACGCGCCTAGACGTTGGTACAAAGCCTTGGGTGACCAGGGCGCCAGCGCGGCGTCCATTTCGGATTGTTTCTTGCGCCAAGATACTTCGAGGGATTGGTGTTGGAGGAGCATTGTTTCTGTTGAGCCGCGGAGCTCATCGACGTGCTTCTGCATGGCTAAGAGGCGGGTCGCGAGGTCCTTGTTTAGATGGATGAGGGATTCTAGGCTTTGCTGGCGGGCTGTGTGTGATGGGTGTTGGTTTGAGAGGGCGGATATGAGGGATGGATCTTTTAGGACGGTTTGGAGGTCGAGCGTGCTAGAAGACGAAATAGCTGTTAGCTTCGTTGGTTGAAGGTGTGTCTTGGCGTCGTCTTACCTCTTGTCCTTGACGAGGTCTGGGAGCCAGCCCTCTTCGATTGATGGAGGCGGAGGAAAGGATGCTGGTGTATATGAGGCATATTGTGAAGTAATTTGGGAGTCTGGTCGAGGTGGTTGAGGTGTTGGCATGGAGGACATGTTCTGCGGGGTGCCTCCGCGACTGGCCTCGTGGCTGCTGGGCTTCGGCGGAGGTGGTGGAGGGGTATCGGGGTTGATAGATGAGTTCATTATGGGCGTTGTCGAGTAGAAAGTTGGCTGGGTGGGATATGGCGACACGGGTTGAGACATGATGGCCTCTAGGAAGGAAATGCGTGTGGGGTTGTGGGTGTGGAGGCGGAGGTTGGAGGGAAGTTGGAGATGCGTCGGGGAGCTTGGCGTCGGTTGGCGGTTGCGGCGTGGGTCAGTCCTCGGGACAATTTTACAGCTACAACTTATTTACAAAAGGCGATTGAAAAATCTGAAGAGTAGAAAATACGCGGTCGTGAATGGTAACCATCATCGATGCGGGGTCATATATTCAATTCGTTTCATCGTGTAATGCCAGTCTATGGACCTATACAACACCCACCCGGCATTGAGTTTGGAAGTCCATGCTCCCGTGTGATAATGCTCGGTGGGAAGAGCTGCTTCGAGAAGACAAACGGAGTCGTCAACACAGCAAGAGGCATGTGCAGACATATATGGTCCCCAAAAGAGACTCATGGTATTGCTCTGCTGTACCGGTCACGGAGTGATCAAGTAGATGCGTGGGTATAATAGGATGGGCGGACAGAAGAGGAAGATATCTTCAATGTTGATCGAAGATCTCTTAGTCGGTCCTCCTCCTCACCTCGCGCTCTAAGGTCTCAATGCTGCTGCCACCGAGGGCATCGCGAACTAGGTCGCGCAACTCATTTTGCGTGGCTTCGCTATGGAAATCCTCGCGAGCCGCGAGCTCGTCGATACGTCGCTTGAACTCAGGATCAACCTCAGTCTCTCCAGCACTAGCCTCCTGCTCTGACATGGTTCCAACGTTCACTTGCATGTTGCCAGGAATTGGCCCGGGGGCGTTCAAAGGGCCTGGCGCAGAGTCGGCCGGAGCAGAGACAGAGAGTCCCAAGGCCCCACGAAGGTATTCCAAGACACGAGGAAATTCTTCCTCAGCCTCCAGCTTTTCATCTGCCCTTTGACCCTCGTCATTGGTCTTGTTGATGTCCACACTCAGCTCCTCCACAAGGCACTGCGCGACCTTCGGGTTCTCGCAGACGAACAGACAAGTTTCGCCATCTTCGTCCACAAGATTAACATCGACATTGAATTCCTTCACAAGGGCTCGGAGGAGATCGACATGACCATAGGAAGCGGCGGCGTGGAGTAGGGAATAGCCATGTTCGTCCTGGCTGGATGCGATTGCGGGGTTGGAGCGAAGCAGGTCCAGAAGGGCGGTGGGATTGTCACACGCCAAGAGATAGGGATTTGCCGGAGCCATGATGTGGGAATGAGTGAGTCGCACAGAGGGAGTATGAAGGGCTGTGTCGGGCTTTAAGGTGGGATGAGGTGAAGGTGGAGATGGCAGGGTAACTTGCCTTGAGATAGGAACTTTTTTCATTGCGGCTCTCCGACTCAATTGGGAAAGCACGAGCCGATAAGATAAGGCTGCACCTTTCCCTTTTTGCTCCCCGCCCATCACTCTGTGACTCTTAACCTCGTACTCATTCTGACTCTTACTGGGGAATGATTCACAGAGACTGCCAATGCTGAATACAAGTTAACGACACCCTGTCAAAGGACCCGAGACATTCCTCTTTCTGCGACAACTTGCGCAACCTGCGACTTCCCTTTCATCTCTTTCACCTCCGCCCCACCTTCGCTGCCCCTCTATCCTATAAATTTCGACACACAACTTCAAATAAGCAGACGAACATTTCAATTTAAATTCCAATTGCAACTCTCAAATCATGGGGAAATACGATCAAAATGTGCAGCAAATTGCCCAGCTCGTGAGAGACCTGGAGGAGGCGCGCAAGCAAAATAAGAGTGAAAAACGACAAGCTTTCACATGCAAGAAGCACACATTCCTAGTCGCCGGCACCAACAATGTCACCGTTGACTCTTGGAAGTTTATGGACTGGGACTACAAGCGCGATGGCCTCCCCACATATGCCCGCGGCCTCTTCACCACACGATTGAAGAACAATACCCCCGAAATCGCTGTGCGCGGCTACGACAAGTTCTTCAATGTCGGCGAGACAAATGACACACAATGGAGGAATATCGAACACAATACACGGGGACCTTATGAGCTCAGTGTCAAGGAGAACGGATGTATTATATTCATTTCCGGAATGGAGGATGGTAAGCTGTTAGTCTGCAGCAAGCACTCCACCGGTGTCCGGCACGACACAGAGATCAGCCACGCGCAAGCCGGTGAAAGATGGGTCGAGAAGCATGTCGCTTCCGTCGGGAAAAGCTCGAAGGATCTCGCAAAGGCACTCCGTGAGATGAATGTCACCGCTGTGGGTGAGCTTTGCGACGATTCCTTCGAAGAGCATGTTCTGGCCTACGACGAAGCATCCTCTGGTATCTACCTCCACGGCCTCAACTATAACCTCAACGAATTTGCCACGCAGTCCAGCCAAAAGGTCAATGATTTTGCCGATGCGTGGGGCTTCAAGAAGACCAAGTTTGAAGTTCGCGACGACATCGAGTCCGTGAAAAGTTTCCTTGAGGGGTGCGCGGAGACCGGAACCTGGGATGGCCGTGAGACTGAAGGTTTCGTTGTCAGATGCCAAATGGCTAAGGACGGCCATGACTACCGTGATTGGTTTTTCAAGTACAAGTTTGAAGAACCTTATTTGATGTACCGCCAATGGCGTGAATGCACCAAGGCTGTTATTGGTGGGCGTCTTCCGAAGATTAAAAAGCACGAGAAGATCACCGAAGAGTACCTGCAATTTGCCCGGAGGAGGTTTATGGAAGACAAGACCCTTGCCCGAGACTACAATTACAACCACGGTATCATCTCTTTGCGAGAAGCTTTCCTGAAGGAACGTGGCTTGAATGGATCGGAGATTATCGCCATGGAAGAGCAGGAGGGCCAGGGCAAGAATGTTTCCAAAAACGTCATTCTCGCGCCAATCGCATCTCTGGGATGTGGAAAGACCACTGTTGCTTTGGCCCTGGTGCATCTCTTCGGATGGGGTCACGTCCAGAACGACAACATCCCCAAACAGAAAAATAAGCCAAAGCAATTCGCCTTCCAAATCACAAATGAACTGAGCACAACTCCAGTTGTCATCGCCGACCGCAACACCCACCAGCGACGCGAGCGAGAGCAGTTGATGAACGACGTTCGCCCGGTTCTTCGAGATGCCAAGTTCGTTGCTTTGCATTACGTTCATGAGCCGAAGCCCGAACTACTTTCGTCGATTAAGGAGGTGACCCGAAAGCGCGTTCTGGATCGCGGAGACAATCACCAGACTATTCGTGCGGGCACGAAGGATTCGCACGAGATCATCGGAATTATGGATGGCTTTTTGAACCGCTTCGAAGGTATCAACACAAACCGACACCCCGATGATTTATTCGATCTCGTCATTGATCTCGATGTATGCGCCTCTTCTCGTGAGAACCTTGAGACCATCGTCCGGGCCATGCACGACGCCTATCCCGTTCTGGTCCCCGAGATCCCATCCGCAGACGACCTCGACGCCGCCATCGAAAGGGCTATGAATAAGTACGAGGTGAAGCTCGATCTCAGTGCCGGGTATTCGACAAAGGGACCCAAGGGACCAAAGCAAAAGAACGGCTCCCCAGCACCCCAGTCCGGATCAACACGTCTCGAGCCACCCCTCCTGGCCCGGAAGATCGAATTCTTTAATATCGCCATCCCAACCAGTGAAGTCACCTCCACTCTCCACTCCCTCTTCTCATCCTCCACTCCCGAGGTTGCCCGCCTGTACCACCAGCTCGTCAACAGCCGCCGTGTCCAGCCCGCCTTCCACGTTACCCTCATTCACCGCGCATCCAAGGACGAGCAAAGCGCCATCTGGAACCGATATACGAAGCAGTACATCGACACACTGACCGCAAACCCCGTCGCCGACGCGATGCAGAACCCGCCCAAGTTAGGTCTGGCCCGTGTCCGTCTCGAGCGACTGGTATGGGACACCCGGATCATGGCCTTCGTGGTCCGCATTCTTCCCTTCAATGATCAGATTGAGGGCTCTGGACAGGCGGATTTCCCCTGTGCCAATACTATTCCTCACGTCACTGTTGGTACTGTTGCTCCAAGCGTCAAGCCGAAGGAGAGTAACGATCTCCTGAAGCGCTGGCTGGAGCTTGGGTCTGGTGGTGATACCGGCATCTTTGAGGCGGAGGTTCCGGGTGTTAAGGTTGTTGAGGGCACTATCAACGTTACTATGCGCCGTTAGGATGAAAAGCTTTATGATGGATTGTGCATTTTATTGTGATAGGGTGTTTTTTTTTATCAAGTTGTATGGAGCATTTACATGTGCATGTCTCATTATCGTCAATCTCTATAGTTCTCAGTAGCAATGCCCATCCAGAGCGTGTGGATACGATTTCAATGAACACAGTTCCTCACTCCCTGTGCCTATCAACTGATGATCGACCCGCGGTCGGCATATGTCGGCGTGTGACTCATCCTCGATCACAAAGAACCTGTTGCAGTTTCTGGGGAAGATTGCCCTGAGGATAAAACCGCTGGGATTTAGAAGATGGAAAACAAGGTAGTCTGGTCGATGAACACATTCGCCTTTGAAATGAAAGGGGAACCCTAATCTACCACAAGCGTTAGAAATTGCGATGGGTATGCCAGTCCTGACTGGTTAATTATATCTTACTGCGGTTGCTCAAATACTCGTGCATAATCCACAAAAAGCTTGACGATACAGCGATGCTTGTTGTCTGCCGAAAAAGTGCTTGCGAGTGATTTAGAGATTCCCGCTACCTCATCACTACTTTTGTCTTTTTGAGATATTTAAAGGTTAACAGGGGTAGTGCTAACATCTTCGAAATGGCACCGCAGAATATCGAGATGTTATGACGTCCACTGCAGTGGATTTATGAGGAAATAACAATGGCTTTCGACCAGATCACGGAAAGACTTGGGGCTGAGCTTGGGCAGCATCGGAGGACAACAATATGAACGGTGAGGTAGACAGCCGAGGTTTCCACCAGCCATAATAATACCAAAGCTCTACTCCACCGCCGAATCATACACACCTGGCTGCCTTCAGTGCAACTTCCCCGCATCAACCCCCAGATTCGTGTGTTTCGTCAGGAATGATTCTTTCAACATTGGAGAGAACCTCGAATGAGTCTATCTATTGCAATATATTAACTTACCGATGCTTCCAACTGAGAGATTGCTTCAGATAGAGTCCACTTAGTGTGAATATCTTTGGTCAAATGATCTGCAACCATCTTGAGAGTCCTCCCAAAAGGACAGTCCTCGACCTGCGATGCAAGTTGCTTTATAATCGCTCCGTAAGCCCAAACATCATTCCATCGACGAGCTTGGAAGGGAAGGTCAAAAGGCGATATCTCATCCTGTATCTCTGGAGCCCGCCATTCATACGTTACTCCGCCGATACCGCTGATATCAATAAGCACCGCATTACCCTGCTCGTCCAAGACGACGTTTGAAGGCTTTAAGTCCATAAGAGTCTTCTTTTCCCAATGAATGGTGTCCAAAGCATTGCCAATTTGAACAGCCCATTGCTCCCAACAAAATTCCCTGACCCGTCGCTCTTTCAGGACATGTTGCAAGGTACCACCACTGTAGTACTCCAACAGAATACCGCTGATAACAATCTGTGGGTCGCTACTTTGCGGGTCGGTCATGTATGGGTTGGGAAGCACCGCAGCGCCTGCTGGCTGAACTATCCCTGCAATACTTTTGAATTGTTCGAGGTTCTCTAATTCCTGTCGTATAACGTCTGAATCTAGTGGTTGGTAAGAAGGACGGTTGACCATCTTGAGAACATATGATTTATCGTTGCCCTTGTGTAAAACGCGGAAGACCCCATCGGCTATCTCATATTCCTGAACCAATTCTGCAAGTCTTATGGTTCGGAAAGTCGGAAATTGACAGGTGGGTGGGTAGATGACTCTCAGTGGATCCTCCCGAAGAGAGACTTGTAGGTTCTTGAACTCCATAACCCGATTTGTATTTTCCGGATCATCATGGACCTTGATAGCCGCAGTGGCTTTAGTACTCTCTTCCAAAATAAGTTCAGTCACAGTATTATCCAGAAGAGCCTGGGATTGGAAATCGAGTATCGTGATAAAGTCTTGGAATTCATTGCGTCGTCGCGTTTTGATTTTATCTGCCCTGGATCTGCACAAGAAGAGAAGGAGGAAAAGTTGCCATGGAATGTTACTTTGATCCACCATTTCCTGTTGTGTCTATGGTAGACCACAGTCTGGGAGCGACTGTTAGGCTCTTGCTTCCCTTCGGCCTTGAAGTCAATGTCTTCACAGTATGACTTGTATTCTAGGCCAGGGCCTGTTGATTTAGAAGCAGAGGCTGGCATTGCGCATCGTATGTCTATGCTCCGTAGACAGTAACAGTTGCTCGTTCTGTTTCAGGACATGCGGGGAAATGGCTGGGAGGGTAAAGGTAGCAATTTGACACGTAGCACCGGCCACCGGCCTTACATAGTTGGCTCAAGTCGGGCAGGCTGGACTCGCGCATTATTATTGATATCAGTTAGCCTTTGGGTCTTCCAAGGTCCTTTCAATCACTTGATCGATTGCACAGGTCTATCGATCGAACATGGCTTGTGCACAGCGAGTCAGGGAATGACCCCTCGCCATATTGACATCATGCATATGGGCTATGCCGACCGGTGCCATATTGCTGGGTCAGCATCGACAGTTGAATTTGGAAAAAAGCGCTAGACGCGCTCGATATATACACATGTGTGAACAAATGTGATCCGGAAATCTTTGCTCCGTAAGGCTGCGCGGGGTCGCGCAGAAGCGTTTGCAAACAAACCGCATGGTTCGTTTACGGACATCGATCTAATCGAGGCACCCAACCAGATTATCGCTGGGCGTCTGGCTCACAGACCCCTTCGGAAACGCCGGGCAGGTACTGCGGCTCAAAAGACGTCGTATCTGGGTGTGTCCAACTACCGGAGTGTCCAAGCCCAGACTCCGCCGATCACATTCAACGTGACCCGGTTGCTTTTGTGAGACTTGCATCGATGTGTCTGAGTAGACGTCAGTGATGACAGAGGGAGAGGCATCACCGAGGCGAATCTCTACTAGGATCAAAATGAGCCACTTGATGCGTTGTGTTGCCCTGTGTGCTGTTCTTCTCCGGTCATATGGCAATTGTTCATTCGCTATTCGGGTTTGTCAGAGCGCCTGGCGCGGACTGCCCCCATGTAAAAACAATCAAATTCCCCAGCTGAATAAGGAGCTTCACACCACGCAGGAAATATCGCAAAGACTTTCTTCTCGACCAAGTTCCAAGATCGCGGCCTGATCCGCCTTCTATTTTCGACGCTTCGCGCGCCACCTTCTTTTGATGACCATAGACTCCCCTAGGAACTATGTCATTCGCTATAACTGTTCCATATCCCATTTTATGGCCTGTATCGCGATTACTTTAACTTAATAACCGCTCATCTCCACAACCAAACGGCCACTACCCAGGCCTTGCTTTTTCATAATGTCCACAAGGCGACAAATCTACCCGGTAAACCGATCGGCACTTCCACAAACTCGCCAGAGACACGAGGAACACCCTACCATGCCTACAGATATCTCAAGCCGCAGGCCACGTCCTGCCAATCACACATCATCACTGGCACCAGGCTTGAACAATTTCAGCCCCCACGGGAACTCCGTCCAACGCCAATCTAATGCTACTATGGATGTCTGGTCTGGCAATTATGGTCTAGCGCCCGCGTATTATGCAAATACATATGGGTCTGAGATGGGAATGAATTACTACTACACTCTCGGAACTTTATCTGACGAGTCTTCTCCTGCAAATGTTCCTAATGCACTACAGCCTAATCGCGCAGGCTCATCCCGTTCCGACCACCGCCGTGAGCCCGCTGATATTGACTTGAGGTGAGTTAGGCAGGTCCGAAGAATCTTCCAGGGCACATGTGCTAATGCCAATAAATCATAGAAGAAACAAGAATTATCGCCCATTCTTATGTGAGTGGCGAAATTGTTCAAATACTACTGGCTTCGATCGGGTTGAGTGTCTACGGAGGCACGTTCTGACACAGCACGTTGAGCGCGGATCCTTCAAGTGCAACTACGCTCACTGCAATAAAGCTTTCAATCGGAAGGATAATCTTAGGTCTCATGTGCAGCTGGTTCATATCAGTAGAGAGGGCGTCGAGCACTGAGGTTGTCTTTCGGGGTCTGCTACTAGTCCACATTCATCTACAGTGCGCCTTTTGAACTTTCTGGCATCTATCGATCAAGCCATATACATCTCTTTACTACTATTCATATTGCACTATTTAATCTAATAACACATTCATCCCTTATAAATTTATAAATCACAACATGCTAGCGCACCCACATCCCCTTATCAAAACCAACACCGGTGAAATGTATACCTAGGTAACATGCGTTACTATACTGCCAAATGCCTACGCCACTTGGACTGTCTCCATATGCACTAATTAATGTTGCTCCTGTCCACCTGCAACCTTAATCGATCGTTTATTTTGGTCCCACGGTTGCATGGTTTCTTTTTATTCGCAGGATCTACCGTGGAAAAGTGTGAGATGAGCGTTCAAAGCTCAATATTTTACATTAAGTCGCATATATTAGTCCAAATCACTACTAGGCGCACAAACCCAGAAATCTTGTGTAACGACATTGTAATAGATGAGAAACTGCCATAGTCTAGTAAGATAACGCTCTGGCGTGGAAAATACAGCTTCTAGAACCTTTTAATTACAAATATTCTATACTGGTTGACAGAATGAAAGGATATGTACATAGAGCTATGATAGAGCCGATTTGACCGAAAGCATGGGGTAATCCGATGTTCGAGAATCCTGCCGATCAGGTTGCGGTTTGAGAGACTGTCTTCGGTGATCAAATATATCGGAGTCAGTGCTAGACATTATGGGCGGAGAATGATCGGCGCTCCATCTTGGTTGAATGTGAAAATCTTCGGTGTGGGATTGCTGGATTTCTTGGATGGTTGTGGGGTTTGTGTTGATGACGGCGACGAGGCTGTTCAGTACGGTGAATTCCATCTTCAGTTTTAGACTATAGGCCAAAGGTTTGAGGGAGGTTTGAATAGCGAAGTTGTTGGTGTATTCGGTCGCCAGGAGGGCTGCATCAAGGAGAATAGCGATAGCGTTAATCAGAATGACACTGATGACGACTCTTTGACCACGCTCTCCTTTGAGAATTAGGATAGGTCGAAGGGTGGTCAGAGTCTCCCAGATGTAGAGAGCGCTGATTATCGTCTCTTGAACGGAGAAGACGGTCAATTGGACGCGCTCGTAGATATTGAAGGGCGCAATGAAATTGTGTACGCCGTGGTTGCTGCCGAGAAAAAGAACTGTGGTGGGTATGTGCATAGCGAAGGCGTTGAAGATGATCATGTACAGCACGAATCGAGAATAATGGGTGTGACTCGTCACGAGATGAAGTCGTGAATATAGCACGACAGATTGGCCGGTAACCATCGCCCACCACCCGATGCAGATCAAGACGCACATGGGGAAGTTTGGGGCGAGGGCAAAGTAGCGGAGGAAGCCAGTGATGGCATGAAGAAGAGTTCCCAATGTAGCAATGACCATGCTCCAAAAATACAATCCTTGACGCCGCCTGAATGTGGTGAATGTCGAAATCATGATTTCGAGGACATTAAAGCAAGCCAAGGCGAATAAGGCCGCAATGACCATTGCCATTGCCCGCGACACAGTGATCGGTCCCGTTTCACCTGCCATCGTGTTCGATTACCCCGCTAGCAGGAGGAAGTATTCAAAATTAAATCGTCGTGGGCTTCTTCTTTGAGTGGAACCAGTCGAGATTCGATCGGTCGCAATCTCACAGTGGTGTTTGCTCTGCGGCAGCCATGGTCAAAGAAAATCGCGAGGCCAAAAAGGAGGACAGCATTGTCTCCCCTTTTGACATTAACGGGAGGTGAGAGTGAAAGAAAGAGTGTTTAGAGAGTGTTTAATGGAATAGCCCATCTGCACTCGAAAGGGGTCATGGGCTTGGGACCTGCCCTAAAGAGAGGCGATGGACAAGATAGAGTTCAGGGGGGGGAAAGGCTCGTCGCACTTAAAACGATGTTTGCATCATCACTTTCACTCTTAACAGCTGAGACATGTCCCGGCAGAATGGGACCTAGGCTGATTTTTGGTTAGTTGATCACCGATTGGCAGAGAACCTCACCCAAAGAGAATGTTATTCTGGTTAGCGTGGTTAGAAACGGTTCGCGCCAAAAGAAAGTCTCCACCGTCGTCATTCTTAAACGCAAAATGGGCTCAAAAAAACCGATAGAGGAACTTAAAACTCCACATTGGGCATGAGGGGTCCGGAACACAGCTTTCCTCAAAAACAGCCTCCTCCGCGAGAGGTCCTAGAGATGTTTCAATAACCTTTTTGCCTCGAACTTTACTAAACTCGAGTTGAGTTGTTGGCCTTCCCCGGCGCGCCACGGCTGATACACCAAACTCAATAGCGCTCACAACTCGAGCCAGTTTTTCTTGAAGAGCTTCAAGAAAGCGCCCTTCGTATTTTTCAGTTGAGCCATTCAATTTCCGCGAGGGTGGAGCCCCGCATTTGACAGATGCCACCATTCATTCAGCGGATGACAGCGGCTCTAGATCGGTCCCGCTCAAGAGACCATATAGTTAGTCCACCTTGGCAAATTCTATTTTTGAGATATCAAGGGTGTGAGGTATGTATGGCCTTCAATTGACACCATCGTTATGCCTAGGTATCAAGCACCGTATCGAACGAAAGTTTGGTGTACAATGGCATGACGGAGTGAGTACTCCGTACGGAGGACAGGGTGACGACAACCTCGTCTTTGAGTTTCACCTTGGGCAAAGCGTGTTACTCCGAAGAATTACCGAATAGCTGACAAGGCGCCAACTCACATTGGTTGCACAGGAGTGATAATAATTTATTTCAAATTTCGAGCTAGACATCCACGGTCGAATATGCCGGTCCCCACAAACTCAGCACGATCGAAATACGGACTTTCATACTTTCGAGTCACTCAGATTTAGTTCTTGAAATGAACGACCGGCTGCCTATCCATCACCACATGGCTACACGATCCTGCGGTAGGTGATACATAAAGGGACCCTGAAAGTTCGCCTCTATTTCACAGTTACCAGACATCGCAAGCACACGCACATAGGGGAATAGTCGCCTCCCGAGTAGCTGATCAAAGGACATATGGACATCCTCTACATGACATTAGTCCCGGAACGCGTGGTCCACTCTATTCTGAGTTCATACCTCGTACTCCATTGACAGTAACGAACTGTTGCTTTCTCTTCCAGTCGATCCCATAACCCACTGTGTCTCCTTCCTTAAAGCACCCTGTTTCCCACGTGAGGAATAGGTCGTGCAAATACCCAGTATCCGAATAGTATGCCGGCCTGTATTGCAGAAAATCGTCAATGACGCCGATCTCTACCCGATCCTGTATCCATCTATAGGTGGTCAGCTAAAGTCTAATAACTGAAGGGCAGGGTCTGGTCACTGTTCGTTCATATATTCAGGCTCACCGAGCTCCCTGATTTTGACTTCGAAGTAGCTTGTGCCGCTTGGAATGAAGGGGTGGTTGGCTCGAACACAGGATCCGGATTTATTTTGCTCTGTAGTCCAATGTGAGTATACAAATCCTTTGAACCTCACAGGGATACCAGTACGAACCACTCAGTCTCAGTATTCTTCCATTAGACCGCACCAAAGACGGATTGTCGTCCTCTAACCATGCACTCGGAGGCAGCGGGGCAGTTTCTTTCCGTCCAATTTCTGCTCTAATTTGTGAAAGTAGGATTTTCTTGCATTTGTAAAAGGCCATGAGTTCAGCGTTCCAACCGTGTTCGTCGGTTCCGGGCCATATCCCGCCATAATTAATGCACCGCCGTAATATATCAGGTTGTCCTCCTTCAATCGCAGCCAGAAATATCGATCCATATTGGTCATGGCTGAGAGATTCACTGGCCGATGAAAATAGGCTGCCAAACCAAGTCTCTTTACCCGCCATGGCAGCCTCGCGAATCTCGGAGACCACAGAGCGAAGCTTTTGGGGGACAGGCTTCTTGGGAGGCGTGTTACTGGAGCTTGTTTGTCCGGATGGAGCTGGTTTCGATGAATCGATGACACGTAGTTTTTCCTGTAGCAGAAGCAGAACCTTACTGCTACGTTTATTTCCAGTCGATATGTACCGACTCTTTGATAATAATAACTCGATAATCTCTTTCTTCAATGGAACTTCCGCGGCAACTTCGTCGGTGATCGGAATGAAAGGGTCTATTAGAAGCAGCAGCTCCAATAGCTTGAGAGTCTCTCCAGGGTTAGACAAGGCAGCGAGAATTAATTTGTCGGTTAGGCAAATGTCAACATTATCATTGAAAAGATCCGCCAGCGAATCCAAGTCCAAGGAGGCCTTTGCCGTATTGTCACCTTTTGGGAGCTTTGCTTTCACATTTGCAGTCCGGCAGCTCTTACTGTTCAAGAGGACCTCTAGAAGCTTGATGGCCCCAGAATTGACACGAAATACAGCTTCGAGGGTCTGAATAGTAACAGACGCACCAGGAACCAGAGATCGCAAGACCTCAACCACACAGTCGTTGCGGATTGGAGCATCTCTTGCCAATTGCTCAACCACGTCTTCAGTAACAGGCAGTCCGGGTACCAATTTCAGTAGTTGTCCCAGGATTATCTGTCTCTTACGACGCCAAATTCCCTGAAACACACTCGCATTAATTCTAGGCGCGAGAAGCTGTGTGATTATATCATCTCTGTCATTCCGATGGTCAAGTATGGCCTCGAGTACGTTCCCGGTGATAGCAGAGTTTTCGCACGCGCCGAGGCAAGCTTGGAGTATCTGGGGATGTGTTTCATTCATCGCGGCCATTACCAAGGTCTTCGTAGATATTCTAGACGCAGACTCCCCTTCCATTAAATGGAAAAGCACGTTCGGGGGACCACAGCGTGCAGCAACTTCAATCACGTCTCTATCGTGAAATGTCGCTCCATAATCCAGCAGAGTCTGAACAGCCTTGGGATGACCGCCCTGAATGGCGAGGAACAATGGGTGGCAGTCATCCACATGAAAATGTCCTGCGTATGAGTAAAGTGTCTTGAAAGGACACATTGCCGTACTCGCATCGATAGGTCTGCGAGTCGGGTTTACAGTGGCTCCGTCGCGCACCAGAAGCTCTATAATTCTTTGCTGTCCGTTTTGGCTGGCTAGAGCAAGCAGGGACATTCCACGCTCATCCGTTGCGTTGGGATCATATCGAGAACGCTTCCAGAGGGCTGTGTGTCGGATGCCGTAATAAGCCGCGAGGAGTAAACCGTTAGTCAGAGTCGCAATCTCATCTGCAAAGTTGTACTCCCGATGGCGACGGCTGAAGACTTCAACAGCGCCTTTCCATTCGCGGTAGGCCACTGTAGGCGCCTTCCATCTTCCCAGAAAGTCATCTAGCTCCGGGGGAGCAGACCGACCACTGGCCTTGACATGGCTGATCCAATGCCTTGCGGAATATTTGTAGAAATCATACTCCAGATCCGATGGCCTTGGTTGTCTTGTATTAATCAGAAATCGAAGACACGTTTCGGCTGCCATCGTATCAAGATACAGCTTAGAGAACTGCGACTTCTCTTCGAGATATTCAAGAACCGAAATGTGGGCATAGACGATATGGTTCTGTAGTTCGTCATAGACGACTAAATTCTGACACATCCCCAGGAGGGCTTCAACACTGAGGTAGCTCGGCTTTGTACCCGCCAAATCTTGGCTTATATTAACTGCCCATGAAGTTCCAGAAGCCCACTGAGTGGGACGAAGAGGCTCCCGAGCACCCATCAGCCATGCCAGGGCTTTATGTGCCTCATAAGCACTGGGGCTCTGTTCGATTTTCTCATAAATTCGGTCGTATGTCTCGCTTAGTGTCGGTGGTAGACGTCCTAGAAGGGATAACACTTGTTTCTCAGTCTGCATTTGGCATAGGCGTTGAACTTGAAGTCGAACCCAGAGGAACCTAGAAATGAATGAGTAAATCCAACGAAGGAAAGTAAAGACCATGCTGTTGAAACCTACATTCCACCTGCTTTGGCTACCAGCTCGGCTATAATTATGTTCTCTAGCTCGGTTGTAGCTTCCCCGTAGAGTAGGTCTTTCGATTCAACACTCCGCCTGACTTGCTGCTCCACAAAGCGCTCTATATCCGTCCGAGTCACATTTTCATTTATCGTGAGATTCGGCAAATCTTTGAGCCGGACTAAAATATCACGATCGCCTCTACTCGATATCAAGACTCGGACACTGGTAGTAGAGTCGTCCACAAAGTTTCTTAGGGACTGCAATAGAGCGCTTCTTTTCTGCTCGCTGCACTCATCCAGTGCATCGATGACAATCGTAGTGCTAGGATAGTCCTTGAGAAGCGCCGTGATCATTTCATGGCACTCATCAAAGTCCAATCCGTCTCTGGCCATTCCGGTTGAGTATCTCTTGTTGTACGCATTGCGTAGTATCTGTGGAATCCCGTCTCGAGACTTCACTGATAGCTGGTGAACTAATGAGCGGAGGATCGACTTTGGATCCTGGCGATCTGGGCCATTCAAGCTGCGACTACAAAAGAAGTAGATCACGTTCGCGTCTTGTTTGATCAATGTTTCTACCATCATTGCGCTATCATATCTCAGTTTGCGTTACTAGTAGCAGGGGTTTTTTCTACCTACCAGAGCTTCGTTTTCCCTGATCCCGCTGTTTGCTTGTTAGCAGATACTTCGAATAAACAGGATGGAGATCCTTACGCTTTCCACACAACCAAAACGATCCAGATTGCTCGGATCGTAACCAGTTTGTAAATTCCGGCTTTTCAAAAAGCCAACGGCCTGTATCAGATAACAGACCATCTTTGGCAGTTTTGAAATGCTTCTCGTACGGCGTTTCTGAAACCCACGAAAGGATCTCGGATTCACGGTTCTCTGAGAAGACAATGAGAACAAGGATCTAAATTGTGTCAAATATTCATAAGGCCAGAGTAGCTCACCTTCCTGTCTTTTATGAATTTTCTGCACCTGAATCTCGGTCTTCTTAACAGGTTCTTCAACTGCAGTTAAAACGGCATCAAGGACTAGATGTTCGTAAGCCGAGCGGATTCTCAGGATACGACACGAATCGAGACCATCACTGACCAGCTTTTGTGGATTCTCGAGCATTCACTGTCTCCTTTACCTGCAGAGCGGGAATGATCATCAGCAGCTCCTTCATATATGCTGCCGCCGTGGTTGCCGCGTATGGTTGCCATCGCTTATTCTTATGCGAGTCAGCATAGTCGCAAATACCCCGAACAACAAGGCAAGGGAATGAATCCATCAGTCCTGCTGCTTCCATTTCGAGACAAAGGACCCCCGTATTCTTCTTCAGTTGGTCACGGACTACTGGGTCCTTGACGACCACGTTCGCAGATCCGATCGTGCCGTAAAATATCCTCGGTTCGACATCTCGTCTCAGCGAGCGTGCCACCATTTCCCCTCGCTCACAATTCTCACAAGTAGACCCTCCCTGGTGCGCATAATCCGACCGAAAGAGTCTATCTTCTTCAGGGCCCGGATGCTGGTAATTCTCCTCCATCTTCGGATACCGGCGCATCATCTCAGCCATGTAGGAGCTTATCCTGCTACTCACCCTGTGATGCTGCGCCTGCAATTTCCTCACGTTACCTCTCAGAACCTCAGGCGGCTTATTGAGACTTCCAATCCGCAGAAAGCTACCATCTGCAACCTTCTTCCCCATATCATACTGCACCACTCCGCCAAAGGTATCCGTAGGCTGACCAACAACAACATCTCCCAAACGAACATCCTTACCAGTCTCCGAGCCAGGAACACCAGCGCCAACACCAACCAGCAACCCGAAGCGCAGGGAAGGAAAGTCGTTTAGAAGTTGCGTTGCCGTCGTAGCTGCCGCATTGTTGCCCATCTCCGGCATCACCGCCACAACAACATTGTGCGCACCCAGTCGGCCGAATGTGTAGGCGTTGCGGTCACGGACTGTTGGGAGAGGGTCGTGGATCTCATCTAGCATGGCTTCCACGGCCGCACACTCAACTCCGAGCGGGCAGATACATGCCACTGTGTAATCTGCCAGGGAGAACGTGACAGCGTCTTCGACGCGAGCAAGACGGTCCATTTCAGCGCTGTGATGCTTTTGCATTTGGGTTAATGTCTCTCGTCTCGAATCTCACGGCGTGCCTGAAGAAGTGAGGCGGGGTAATGCGGCTGAAGTAGACGGATCGCAATAAGCAGTAATAAGCAAGCGCCCAATGGAAGCTTTTCATCCGTTTGGCTGCTAATAAGGATCAGATAACCAAGTTGATCGTGCTTGGTTTCTGTGAGAGCGGGAATTTACCTGCAATCTTCACCCCAGTAGATTAAGTGTCTCGCAAGCCCATGGTTGGAGATTATTCTAGGTATAAGTCAAGCGCCCGGGCTTACGGGATCATGATTTTCTCCTGAAGGCGCTGCGAGGCACAGGCTCGGAAAATCGCACTTGGGTGGATCAGAAGGAGCCTCATTGATGAGCTTCAGTGGTTAGATGATGACTTCTCAAGGTGAAAACCGGTTAATGCTGCTTCCATCGAGATATTTGTATCAACAAGACTAGCGCAAAAGCCCCATAGTATCAAGGGACAACAATTCATCGATCAGGGGAAACCATTCTTCAGATTAAGTATATTCAAATGAGATGAAGCTATCATACGAACGAGACTGTTCTTATCTATCCGCAAGACTACATATACAGAAGAGGAGAGTGAATCGACCTCGACGCGAGCACCTGATGCAAGCGTGAAACTGCGCTAGACCCAATATCCAGGGTATCATAAGGCGACAAGAGACAGGAAGGAAGGAGGGACGGTCGAGTTTTGATCAACCGGACATCCAGGCGGTAACGCGCGAAGCCCCGAAACGACTCATGTACTGCAGTCCGGTGCTGCCCATGGGGAAGTAACTGACGAGGTACCAGACGAGGGCGCAGATCTGGAAGATGGAGGATATGGCAGTGAGGATGAGGCTTTGGAGCTGCAGAACAAGTCAGCAATGAGTCATGGTGAATGCGAGATAATACAACAAGGCTAGCGATGGTAATAGGGAGGCTCCAAGAGGCAATGCAGAGGCGTGCAGGCCAGGGACAGTGAGACATGAAGCGAGCAGTCAAGACAACCGTTGGGCATTGTGGTACAAGGATCTTAGGCGTCCAGAGGCTTCACTCTTGTCTTGTTACCCAGGGGTGGAACTATGGTTGCACGGTGGATACAGGGTGATATCGGCGATATCTGCTCCCTTCTTTCCCCTTCCCCGAGGTCCCTGTGAGGCGGAGCCATAGGCCATTTTGAGCATGATGGAAACAAACGCCATTCGAGTTGTACAGGAGACAGCCCGAAGAGGAGAATGCGAGATGCCCCCTTCCTTTTTCCCGGCCGCAGGGTGCAACCGTAGCTGTGCAAGACAAGGGAAGAGCAGGAGTGGGTAGTAAATCGATGTAGATCGATCCGAAAAAGGAAACAGACTTACCCCGATGGCAAAGTAGAGGGTTAAAGCAATCGAGCCGAAGTAGGCGGCCGTGAAGGGTAGGCGTGATCCCGAGATCAGATGTTTAGCGTAAGACCACGGTCCCATGAGAACGGCCCATGATAGCAAAAACAGGGCTGAGCCGACAGACCATCTACACAAAAGAAAATGGACGTGTTAGCTAGACGTTCAATATCTGGCTTTTCGACAAGAGTTATCTTGGCATGAGGCGCAGGGCGATGCTTTCGAGAGCAACGAATAGGGTGAGCTGCGTGTGAGCCATGGACGCGCACATGGTCCAAGCGAGAAGCCGCCCATGACCAGGGTCAGGACAAAGCGGGATTTGAGTGGTCCTCTCAGATCCCGGGCTGAAGAATGGGCGATATTGAGGGGGAAAGTAGATCAAGATGCAGCCTGCAGCTGAATGTACTAGGAGAAGGCAACTTACAAGATGGCGAATTTACGGGGCTTGAGCGTAAGGACGGGAAAGAGGAAGAAACAAAGCATGAAACAGATGGCGGCGCCCAAGTTACATGCCGCAAAGACGAGCATTCGATCCCATCGACTTACTAAACACGGTTGTGGTTAGCGTGGCCTTCAATCTACTCCTGTCGGATTTCAACCAGAAGTGACAAGCATGGAAATCCGCGAAACCAGGAACTTCACACTCGTCACCTGGATCAGGGAGGGGCAAGGGATGGCAGAGAGCAGAACGGGACATTGGCAACAAATAGATGGTCACGAGGATAGGGAACGGAGAACCTACGAGCGAAGAATCCTTCTTCCTCCTCTCTTCGAGTAGCGGCTGGCAAGGGTGCTCCGGGGCCTTCATTGTGAGTGGGGAGTTGAACATAACCTCCCTGACCGAAAGGGTTGTAGGACTGCAGGCGTGAGAAAACGGAGGTATCGGCGGAGGCATTAGTGCGGACGGGGAAATCCGGGTCTCTGCGCGACCAGCCCAGAGAGTTGACGGAGTCTCGAAAGGTGTTGTTGGCCATGGTTGAAAGAACCTTTGTCTTAGCTTCGTAGATTGATTAAATTCCCAATTGAATGGAGAAAACGGTAAAAGGGCAGGAGTGCACGGCCGCTGTACACAAAGGTCTGTGGCTCAGCGACGGAGAGAAGACGAGTACTGCCTGCAGGGACTATGCACGATGGAGTGCAGATGATCTACGCCGGATGATGGCTGATCTGTGAGGATTGGCTGGAGAGGAGAGACTAGTTCAAATCTAATCAGGCAGATGACGTCCAGGCCAAACACCGATTCGGGCTTCTGGTAATGTAGTGCACCTGTGGCTTTGCGCCGGGCTCGTGGTAAATCGCGACGGTGAGGGGAGGGTACTAGCTTGAGACTAGTCTAGCCCTACGGATACCAGGTCCAGCAAATCAAAGACGGTGACGGAGAAGAGGGGCGGCTCAGATATGAAGAGCGCGAGGAAATCGAGCCGATCGAAACCTTGTGGTCGATTCCGGTTGCGTTGCGGAGGTTGCGCGTAACCAGCAGGAGGATCGGGTAAAAGGGGCTTGTCAACGGTTCGGGAAGCAAATGCACAATGCACAATGCAACAGGACAAGCGGGACGAGCCAGCCAAGGCAGTTCCGACGCGGCAGCAGCGGAAGGAAGATCGAGGGAGCGCAGAGGGTACGACGTCAAGGGACGCGGCGGACGGGCCAAGCGGAGAGGAACGTTGAACTTTCAGAGTCCGATCCACGGCAGACAAGGACGATCACGGCGAGGGTGCGGGGCGGTGATTGGATGTCGAAGCGCTGAACTCTCGTACAGGAGGGTAGGAAGGTCAAGGAGAGGGGGGAGGGGGGACGGAGCAGATGACGAGATGGCGTAGAGCTACCGATGCGACCAGCCCGGATCGGCGAGACTGGAGAAAGCTGTCAGATGACAGTGGACTCGGACCGAGCCAGGAAACAGGGATCATGACATACCAAAGAGGATCGGAGGGGGATACTGTGGATATGGAGGTGATGGAGGCGGAGGATGAGATAGATGTGATAGAGACGGAGATAGCCAAGGAGTGCTAAGGTGTTGCTGTGCAGTACCCGCAACACACGGGCCCACTCTGGGGCACAGGAGTACTAGTACTTCGTCTCCCACTTCTGCCACCCAGTAGTGTTCATAACTATTCAAACTTGGTAATAGATGACTATTTTAATGACCATTATATTTGAATAGCTTCATATCTGGAATTAGGACCATGACGTAGCATTTACTAGTTAATACTAGAATGCCGGTGCAAGGCGGTCTGTATTAGACGACCCAGTATGCTCCAGTATACTTCAGTATCCTACTCACTAGTCCGAATTATCAGTATCAGACTTGGAGTAATTTATTATTAATAGAAGTAATATCCAAGTATACTGTACTAGCTTCACTGAGGGGTTATCAGGCATTTTACTAGTAATTTTGATTCCCTCCAAGTACTACTCTTTCCTTCTACATACTAGTTACCAGTAGGTATATTTAATACTCCGTCGACTACCCTAAAACCAACCAACTACTCCCGAGATCTTCAGTCTATTCTTCACCTGGGCACTTACAAACATCTACCATTGTCCATTTTTCATTATTTACTCTCCTCCTCTCTCTTCGGCATCCCTGAGAGGGACTTCCCGCCCCAAATTCATCAAAGTTTACCCCCTCTCCGTCGATCTCTGGCCGGTGCGCACCCTGTTGGCGATCGAAAATAGATGAACTGACCCACTAGCATTATCATGGTCTGCAGAATCCCATCTACGTATCGGATCTCCTCCCCTGCCATTGTGAGGTTGCATACCCGATAGTTACCTCACCTACCCTACTTTACCTCGCCCCTCTCTAGCCTGCCCTGTGGCTACCCGTTTGTACGACCGTGTATAAATTATAATTGTCCGACAAAGGGGGGACACGGGGCTTGGGTAACACAGGGGGAATTTTCTTTCCTTCGGCTGAGAGCTTCTTTCTTATTTTCGCGACGCATCTGATGCAATTATCTGATAGGCTGTACCATCGAATAGTCTGCACCTGAATGCTGAATAGTTCCGTAGTATGCCCGAGGCATACCCGACGTCATTTACTAGTATCATTTTTGATATTGTAGAATTAGGGTAACCCATCTGCTATCATCGGGTGTGAGCTGTACTCGCGGTTCCAGCGGTGAAAAGAATATTCCCATGGTCATGTAGAAGTGCACTTACTCCCTTCTTCCCTTTGTCCAAGAGTCACCTTTTATTCACCTCCTTGCGTCAAGGTGAACCGTGTCCTCGGCGATACCCTCCGAACCTTGACGGCTTGACGGGACGGCGCGGGGAGGATCCACGGTGCTTCCTCCACTTCGGATGCACATCAACTAGACACTAGACACTTCAAACGACGGAGCAAGTCCTTACTATCCAATACTAGCTTGTTTTGTTAGGCAAATCCCGCTCATCCTGCGTCTGCCTGTCAAATATGAATCATCCTCCGCTTCAGCTTCCCACTAGCTCCGTGGCTTGGATGCACATGGGAAACTTTGTTGATTCTGTGTGGCTCAGCCGGTCAAACCGGTATTTGCTCCTCCTATCAAGGTGGTCCTTCTCCTTCAGTTATTGGCTGGTCGTCTCAGACACATTCCACCCCTCTCTCTGTCTCTCTCCCTCCCTCCCTCTTTTCTC